TCGAACAAATGATAGATCTTCTTCCTAAGAACTGTGTAATAGTAATGGATAATGCAAGTTATCACTCCAGACTTATAGAAGGACTCCCACAACCAAGTGGTTAAAAAAAGACTTGCAGAATTGGCTGAGTTCAAAAAATATTACGTACCATCCCGTATCTATAAGAAAGGAACTTTATTCGTTGTGTGCCCTTCATAAAGAAAAATTTAAAAAATACGAAATTGATGAAATTGCAAAAAATCGTGGAATGACAGTACTTAGATCCCCACCATATCATTGTGAATTAAACCCGATTGAACTGGTATGGGCACAGATAAAGAGTGAAGTTTCAAGAAAAAATACCACTTTTAAAATTCATGATGTTAAACAGTTGTTTTTGGAGGCCGTAAATAATGTAAAACCTGAAAACTGGGAAAAGGTAGTAAATCACACTATTAAAGAAGAGGAAAAAATGTGGAAGCTGGACAATATTACTGATAAAATGATCGAGCCAGTTATTATAAATCTTGGTTCTGAAAGTTCATCTTCTGAATCTGATTTGGATTTGTAACAAGTAGCTGTAAGTTTTATATCAATATTTTTATTCATCTATTTAACATACCTTAGACGGTTTTAAAAACTCTTTTTCTCTTTTGTAATTTTTAAAAATTAAAAAAAATGTGAATTTTTTAAAACCCTTTTTAATGTAGGCCAGTCAGTTCTAATATAGTGTGTGATAAAAGAGGTCACTTTTGTTTACATACACATAACACTTTATAACACTGAAATAATTCATTTATTTTTTACAATTATTCAAAGTAATTTTTCAATTAATCTTGAGCACGCCCATGGAGTGGTCGGAGGTACCAGTTAAAATTATGCTAATTACTCTCACGTTCATAAAAATAAACTATAAGCCTGTATTATTTCTAGTAAATTTTCATCACGAAATCAAGCTACAGAACGATTTAAAATGCATCAACACATAAACTGGGAAGAGTTACAACGCGAATAAGTCCATAGATCTGCAAATCCAAAAGAAAAAAGAGGCTGAACTGAAAGCCAGACAGAATCAGCGACACAGGTCGAGCATCTGCGTGTTTCCACTGTGTCTCTCCGAATACTTTCTTTGTCTGCTATCTGCTTCGACAGCCGAGATTCGAAGTTGTTCTAGATTGACGGTAATATGAAACTTTACGGTGAAAGGAGTAATATGAAAGGATTCGATAACATGAAGAGTCCCACCAGAGCTCAATACTTTGGATACCCTAGGTATCTGGTATGAGATAATTTTCACCTTAGAGGGAGTGTGAGCCATATGACTTAAATCTGGATAAAAATAAACATTAATTATTATATAAAAATTCATCTCACTGGTTCTTTAATAAAATACAAGATATTTTATTCTTATGTATAATATTTACAGTGTAGTATTCAAAAATTAATACCAGAGAACATTTTATATAAAAAGTTGTTTCTATTTTTTGTATCACTGCGGATGATTAAATTAAAATAATTACCATTCGGTTAAATACAATCACTTCGCCTTAATCATTTAGCTATTTTGAACGGATACTTCAAAAATAAATTAGTTTGGTATAAACAATTATACACAACCTTGGAAAACTGCTGGCCTGAATTTGCTTCTCATATTTTTATCTCTCAATATTTCATTATAACGTTTTGGCAATATAAACTTAATTTTACGGTAAACATCAACCGGGAGTGAGCTAAGTTTGAAGTTATAGTAAAATACAGATGAATAGAAGATTGTTTTATTTAACAACAGCTGCTTCCAACTTATCTGTAATTAAGTCATTTCGAGCTACAATAATTATCACAATTATTATAAATATCTTATGCAATAGTTCAAGTTTCTTACATTTTTAAATATTGTCATACTAGTCCCTTAAAAATGTTTTTAAAACACCTAACACACCTTCGTTAGATATGTGTGCTGTCCACGGGATTCTGAGCATGAGACGAAGGAAGGATAGACATTTTTTCCGTGAAGCAATGCCTATACCCCCGTGGAAAAATATATGGGGCAAAAAAATCGCGGTTTTTAGTGTTTCTTTGCTTTGTTTTTTAAATATATTTCTGTCAAAAAAGGATATTTTTGACTTTTGAAGGAGACATATGTATATGTAGGAAAAGTACATAGAATTTCAGTTTAAAAGTAAAAAGTGAAAAATTGACTAATTCACCCCTTTCTCAAATACGTACCTCTTTAAAACCACGCTCTGCGGGTTTTTTCATATTTGGGGATCCATTGATTATAAGAAACAATAAAAGTCCTTTAACGTTGTATAATCGGTTCACAATTTGTCGATAGCTCACTACAAGTTTAACCCTAATTAGAGAACTGAAATACAGAGAGGATAGGTAATACGATATAATAGTAAAAACCAACCTGAAACTGACGGCTTAAGATGTTTTCGACTAACCCACCTTGTAGCTGAAGGAATACAATACAGCAGTCAACCTTATAATCCGATTACGAAGGTATTTTGGTTACAGCTGACCGACCAGTGTCGTAGAGTATATGATTGAAACATTTATTTGAACTAAATAAATATATTTTTTAAATTGTACTTATGTAAATTGTATTTTTTCTAATAATAATGTTTGAATTGTTTCGAATAAATGAACATTTTGATGGTACACAAGGCAAATATCCTGAACACAATGTATGTTATAATCAAAATCTTGCACAATGTTACTTTCGATCACAAGATTCATTCCTCTAGGGGCATTTCCGTCAGTTTTGGCCTATTCTAGCAGTTAATAGAATGTTATAAAATGTAAATTTGGGACATAACATAATACACTAAACACAAGACAAACAAACACTTATAAAACTTAAGAAATGGAGAATTCAATACATTTTATATAGAAGCCGGAGACAGAATTTCTGTCTCTCGGCGCTTCTAGTATAAAATGTTTCTTGTTCTTCTTCTATTACATGTCTTAATGCATCTTTCCAGTTTTGTTCTGTAATATGTTGTAAAGACTCGTATAACAATTCACGTACAGCTTGTATTTTACATGACGTATTTTTTCTAGCCACAAACTTTTCATTTCTGCCCAAATGAGTTCAATTGCATTTATTTCGCAGTGGTAGGTGAAGTTAGGACTGTGATGTTTCGCCTTTCCGCCATTTTGTCAACTACGTATTTCTTGAACTTAGATTTGTGTTGCCGGACAATTTTTAAAAGTTCTGCTTTTACCATTCCATCTTCGTAAGGCAGATACTTATTCCGCAGCCAGTCAGGAATATCCTGTTTCTTCCACGCAGTCGTTGGAAGTCTTTCTACTAGTCGTGAATGATAAGGTGCATTATCTAATACTATAATTGAATTTGGTGGTATTTGTTCAATCATCTGCTCAAAATACTCTTCGAAAACATCAGCTGTCATCTCCTCGTGATAGTCTTTTGTGCTTTTGGACTGAAATTCCAACAAACCATGCTTAACAAATCCTTTTTCACTGCCAATGTGAGAAATTATTAATCTACTGCCTTTACCAGAAGGTGAGGAGATACCAGTAGATCAACCTTCCATAAAGGCTTGCCTGGAGCTTAATATATTTTTATCTGACCAAATTTTTTTTAGAGTATGACCTGAGTTTACCCACGTTTCATCGTGGTTTTCCACGTGCTTTTCCCCGTGGCCTTCCTTCAGCCCGGAATTTTCGTATAGATCTTAGATAATTTCTTCTCCAACATATTATCTCCTCCCGGTCAATCAAAAGTGATTTTCGGTCTGATTTCTCCCATCGGAAATTTAATTATTTTAAAACTTGCCACAATTTAGTTCGTCCGATATGAGGCAAATCCGGGTAGTCTCTAACTTCTTGTAAAATTTTGTTTAGGTTCGGTATTTCTTTTTTGAAAAAAAAATCCATGAGTTTTCCTTCGAATAACATTTTTGGCAAATTCATCAATTTCAATAGGCTTTTTCCCTCTCTTTAAGTGTTCGTTTGTGTTTGGGTTAGCTATACCGTGTTTTTTTCTTTCTGATAGGAACCTATATATAGTTGACTCCCCTACGCCAGTCATGTTGGCACAACTTTCGACTATATTGCGAACAGTGTTTGTGTGATTCTGAGAAACCAGAGCATCGTGAACATTCAGGACAATAGTCTTCTCTCTTGGTGAATAGACAGACTTACTGACTGTACGCAATAGTACCGGTGTAAAACTTGATTGTGTTGATGATGAAGCCATCACAAACAATTCAACAAAGCGAGCACGAGCGAAAGGTACGTATATGTTCGTAGGTATATGGAATAAAAAAATCACTAACGCACTGCATATAATTCGCAAAAGAAATATTCGAGACCCTAATTAGACGAGCCGTACATTACATGCGACCAAAAACGTACTAAACAAAAAAATTGTTTTCGTTCGTAATAACTTCACCCTTTCAAGTTAAGTTTCGAATATAAACTAAACAGACGAGGCACGTGGCCAAAGCCGGCATCTTTATACCATTATATTATTAAAAATCTGGGGAATTCTATCCTAATTATCTTGCAAGGAATAATACCTTTGGATATGAATTCCAGGTTTTCTAGTAAAGTGATTAAACGCGAAGATTAGTATTGAAATATCCAAAGAGATAAGGTATTCTTATTTACAAAATTGTTAATGGTTAAATTCTTATTTTTATTAATATAATATAATAACCAACATTAGCCGTGAAAGTTTTAATTTTATTTTTTGCTAAATAAATTAGTATTAAAACATTATTAATATTGATAAACATTTTGGAAAGGAAAATAAATGTAAAACGCATTAATTTTAATGAATAAACACCTCAGGAACGCCTATGATGATACAAATTTTACGACTGTTTTATGACTTTGAGGCACATTTCGTGCTCTGAACAATTTGTGAACGGATAGTAGTTCCTTTTAGCACTCTTTTTTGCACATAATCAATAAAAGAAAAAACAATAGTTCTGTGAATATTCAGCAGTTAGGTCTCCGCTTTTACTCATTTAATTCTTTTATTTCAGATGAAAGAACCGAACGCATTGGATATAAGTCGCTGCACGACTACAAAAAGTTTACTGCCATAGATAGAACTGTCTTTATTCCAGGGGTCGATATAACTGTAGCAATAACGGATTATGAACGAAATTTGACGTCCCACATGCTCAATCCGAATCTGTAAGTTTTTAAACTGTTTAATTTATAAAAATCCAAGTTTTTAATATAACTAATTAAGACAGTTTTTATTTATACATATCCTTAAAAGGAAGTCATATTCATGATTATAAATTAAACGTAAAACCACAGCTGTCCTAAACATAGCCCATGTGGCTATGTATACAAATAACCAAAAAGATAAACCAAAAATTGAATTACAGCAAATAAAAATTTACCAGTGATGGTTTACAAAATGATTCTTGCGAAATATTTTCTTCGCAATAAGTTGAAAATTTTATTTTCAGTATTAGTTATCTTCTTCCATTTTTTTGTACAAATTTGTTTCGTAAGAAGAACTTTTAATTTTTGATATATTGGTTATGTTGTCCTATTGTCTCTTTTGCTTGTTCTTTCCAAACTTCTACGCCAATTTATTTTTACTGCTTTCAACCATCTCTTTCTTGGATGTCGTCTTTTCTTTTTCTGTCTCATTGATGTTTCTTTTTTTTGCATCTGTATGATCTGTTTCAGCCATATAACTTTGTTTTTCTATCGATTTTAATTGTTTTTCTAGTTGTTTTTTTAATTTTCCCTGTTGTATCCTTTGTGTTGATCCTGTCTTTTCTATGTTTGCTTTGTTTCTTCTTTTTAATGCATTCTAACAATCATCATCATACAAATCTTGCAGTTTCTTTGCTTTTTCCACTCGTGTTTCTTTTGCTTCTATCATGACTGTATGTATATTATTCCATTCTTCTTATATATATTTAATAATCGAGATCCTTACTTTTTATTTATCTCATTGATATGTATCCCGCAATTATTGCATGTTCTGTTAAAATATTTTAGTAAAAGTTAAAGATCTTCAGGTGTTCGTGCCCACAGCATAGTATGGTCTGCATTTCGACTTCTCCATTGACGATTAAAGGTCGATTTATACCTATCCGTGCCCTGTCCGTTCCGTATTATGACAGTGCCCGGCCAAAAAGACAATAATGTACTCTTATGAGTATATTTATACAGTGGCGTTTTCCAGATGGGGCCCGTCCGTGCCCGGCCTGAAATTAATCCCAAACGATATTTTTGTTTTCGGCACTGGCGATGCACGGAAATGACACGGACCGCACGGAAAACACGATTTTATTGTTTTGTGAACGCGAGTACTGGTTAATAGACAAGCTGGAGATGTGTGGTTACTAGTTATGGTTTTTCTTTTATGTATTAAAGAAAAAAGAAAGAGAAAAAAGAGTACTGTGACATTCTAAAATATTCTTCTATTCTTCAATAATTCTTTGTGTTTTAAATTCTCCTTCGGTTTGTCTTTTTTTCCACATAGGATGTACACTTCATCTTCTTTATTTCCGACTTTTCTGCTCTTGCTGTTCCTCTTCGTCAAGTAATAATGCCAATACAGTGAGATCTTCTATCCAAGCCGCCATATATTCCACTCTCTTTTTCGAAACGAAAATGAAATGAAATAACGTTTTGGCCCGCTACGCTCACTGGTACAACGCTGTTGTATGGAAATATAACATTAAAAATACCCGGACTTGGCACTGACACGGAACGGACACGGCACGGATATGTATCGTTATCGACGTAATCAACAGAAGAAACCATGTAAGGTTGGAATTTATATTTGCGATGGTTATGAACTTCTTGTTGAATAAACTCGAATAACTTAATTAAAACTTTGGCAGAATGAAAAACGTGTTTGTCACTTGAAGGAACAATTTATTCTGACTTTTACAATATTGCCGTTCAGACAATGTTGCGCTAATTGGCATGTAATTTGAAGTCCAAACATGCCCCCCACATTGAAAGGGGTAACTTTCAAAACAATTTACATTATAACAAAAAAGAAATATATACATAAGGTGAAATATAAGGTGAAATTGAGTTTACAAATGCACTTTAACATTACTTGTCCGTTTCATCCGGAAGAGGACATATATTTCCAGGGTTAAGATCTCGTACTCGGCCAAGAAGCCATTTCTTGGATGTTAGCTGCCTGTCTTTTATGAGAACTAAGGTATTTATCTTGACGTTTGATCGATTCACCTTCCACTTCTGCCTCTGCTGAAGTTTTGAAATATATTCTAAAAACCACCGTTTCCAGAAATGTTACTGAAGGAACTGGAGCCTTTCGTGTAACTGTAGACGAGTTTCCCTTTCATTAGATATGTCGACTTCAGGAATTGAGTTCATTGGTCGGCCAATTAAGAAGTGAGAAGGTGTTAGCGGATTCAAATCGGAAGGATAATTGGAAAGAGGAGAAAGAGGTCTAGAATTTAGTATTCCTTCTAACAAGAATTGTTTGAAAATCTTCATAAGTCAGTAAAGAATTGGAGAAAACTCTTTTCATATGTGATTTCATTGCATTGCATGGTTATGATTGCATTCATGCTTAATTTTATCTTTATTTAATTTGAAAAATTCACTTAATGCATTGAGTTTATTGAATGCACCAGTAAAATTTGATCAATTCACTCAGCTGAGTGGGTTTGATCCCGTGAGAAATGAAACATTTTAAGGCTGACCTAAAAGTTTGAGTTGAAAGATCTGATACAGGTTTTAAGTGTAAGGCCTTTGTTCTGAAGTCTACCTCCTACACGAAGAAGACCATCATTATCGATGAAAGGATGTAAAGAAATAATGTTAGACTTCCCGTTAGAGTTCCCTTTGATGACAGCGTTTGAATTTCAAGCTTAAAGGCTTGACTTTGAACTACTTTAACTACATATTTTTTGGAATTTTGCAATTCTTCAAATGAGAGAGGACCAAACTGTCTTTAAGAGTGATTAAAGCATTTTACAATATGAAAAAATCTAAAGCAATATGCCGCTGAAATAATTCAGCCGCGCTGCAAGCGGCTGAAATTGGAAAAACGCTCAAAAGAAAGTAATTCTATAGTAGGTGATATTTTCGTTGATATGGATTCTATCTTTAACTCAGGGATCAAAGGGATCCACAGAAAGAAAACTGAGACCTTCCCACCACAAGCTAAAAGAATGTAGAAGTGAAGGTTCAAGGCCTCTGGTGAGTAAATCTGCAGAATTTTGCTTTGTACCAACATGAAACCACTTCCTGGAATTGGTATTGGAGACAATTTCTGACACTCTGTTTGCAACAAATGTTTTAAGAACGTTTGGAGGTGTATTGATCCATCCAAGAATTATAGTGGAATCTGCCCAGAAAAACATATCATGAAATTAAATATTTAATGAATCAATAACCTTGGCGGCTAACCTAGAAAGAATAAGAGCTCCACAAAGTTCTAGTCTAGGAAGACTTATTTTCTTAAGAGGTGCAACTTTGCTTTTTGCTCAAAGAAGATTGACACAAACAACTCCAGAAGAATTAACACTACGAACATGTATACAAGCTCCATAGGCTTGTTCTGAAGAATCAGAAAATCCGTGCAACTTAAGCCTAATAGCTTCTCTTCATTTGAAATTACGGACTATCTTAAGTTCATTTAGCAAAGAAAGTTGACGTCTGAATGATGACCGTTCAGTATAAATGCTAATTGGTACTGACTGATCCCAATCCAATTGCTCCGACCACAATTTTTGAATTAATATTTTTACCTTTGATTATTACACAAGGTGCAAGAAGACCCAAAGGATCGTAGATTTGTGCAATTGAAGATTGAACGTTTAGTTACCAAATTAGATGTGGGTTCATTTATATGATACATGAGGGTATCTGACTCATAATACCATACACTCCGTCCAAACACCGTCTCTCATGTAAATATTTTCACTATAAACGTTACACAGTAGTGACGACAGTGGACATCCCTGTATTAAACCCGTTATGTTCAAGCTTCAATTATATCCAAAATGTAATAAACGAACTACTTTTTAAAATTACAATCATTGGACTGGATTATTTCAGGTTCCAAATTTTGACCAATCGTTTAATCTTCTTAGCATCATACTTTTATCATTTTTATTTGTATGTATATCAATTTTACTTTTCTAACTTACGCAATTAGTTTTCTATAATTACATTACTACATTTTAATTAAAAACATTGCATAATTACCTACTTGTTATTGTTAGAGTTTGTTGTTTTGAATCTCTTGGCGACTGATTTTATAATCAGTGCTGTTCTGCATCTTAATTGTTTTTTCACGCATCAGTTTTTCTTTGGCATTGAAAACGTACATATTTCAAAATCAATTAAATGTTTGTCTAAGGTGCATATTCCAAAATAGTATATTATAAATTATTTCTTAATGACAGGTCGTTTAAAGTGTCAAAATGATCTGATCTGGAAGTAAATAATTTGTATTTACAGTACCCGTTGACATACAATTTCCTACTCGATCTGAAAAATAAACATAAACTTTCTGTTTTCAGTCACTTTTCTAAATAAGCAGGTTTTAAACTTTAAAAACCCACAGTAGAGGATTTACATTCGGGTACTTAAAAAAGGGTTTGCTTTAAAATATTAACAAATTATGATCTTAAATAACTGTTTTATTTGTGAAAAAATTTTAAACAAAAAAGAAAAGTAATACTAAAAACGAGGGGAGTCAAAAATATAAGAAAAAACAGAATAAAATAAACAAAAGATAAAGATCGCGAAAGGAAAGACCGCAAAAAATAAAGATCTCTTCAAATTTGGTCGACCCATACAATTTTAAACAACTTGTTTGTAAGTCACCACATTTCGAACGCTTTAATACGGTTTAACGATCTTACTTTAAGTGACCAGTTTTCACTACCATACATTATATGCCTATAATTAATTACATTAAAACCACGCTCGTCTAGACTATAAGAAAGCTATGGTTTTCCTCGATTACTCCCAGAGTGCCATATTCCGTTCATTCTCTTCAAAAAAGTCCTCTCGTGTCTAAACCTTTTTGAAACTAAACAAAGTATGTCTTCGTCTCTTCTTGATGTGCCTATCCGTTACGAATGTTGGCGATCATCATGGCAATCTTTATCTTATCTAGCAGCTGAAAACTGCACAGATGTTGTATCGAACCAGGTTCTGAGGTTCTTTAACCAAGATGTTCTTCTTCTTCCTGGACCTCGTTTTCCAAATATGTTTCCTTGCAAATGGCTTGAAGGAGAGCATATCTGGATTCATTTCGCATAATATGTCCGAAGAATTGTAACTGTCGAGATTTGATGGTGGTCAGTACCTCTCGGTTCTTATTCATTATTCTGAGGACCTCCTCATTTGTGACTCGGTCGGTCCACGGGATCTTAATGATTCTCCGATATAGCCACATCTCAAATGCTTGAAGTTTGCTGCACATATCTTCGTTCAAGGTCCACGATTCAACACCATAAAAAAGGACAGAGAAGACATAGCATCGCAGTATTCTTACTTTTGTATTAAGAGAGAGGTTGTGACTCTTGAAGAAGGCCCCCATCTGATTTAAGGTGGATCTAGCTTTTCCGATGCGCGCTCTAATCTCCTGGCTGTTGGTCCATTCTTCATTTATTCTGGTGCCGAGGTAGTTGTACTGCGTCACTCTTTGACGGTACTACAAGAGATTGGTTGACAGAGTTGATCTTCTGTTATCTTTTCTTGCTAATTATCGTAAGCTTTGTCTTCTTAACGTTTATATTGAGTCCATATTGTGACTGAAATACGTGATTTTGTTCATAAGAACTTGTAGGTCTTCTAAGTTGACCGCAAATACTATGGTGTCATGTGCATATCTGATGTTGTTTAGCCGATAACCATTTAGTTGAACACCTTTTCAGTTTCGTGCAAAGCTTCGATAAATATTCTTTCAGAGTACAGATTGAAGATTAGAGGAGACAAAATACAGCCTTGCCTCACTCCACGCATGATTTTCACAAAGTCACAAAGAAATTTAACTTTCACACAGCTTGTAGATTCTCTTATGAATTATCTTTAGGAACAACTTTAGGAGATGACTCATGAGGCTTATAGCATGGTAATCTTCGCATTTTTGGCTCATGGTTTTTTTGAAAGTGCAATAAACTCAGATTTCAGCCATTCTGTTGGTATTTCTTCAGAGTTGTATATGTTGTTGTATAAAGTATGTCAATAGGACGTATTGAAATCGCTGGTTAATTAATTAAGATAATAAGTAATTAAATATAATGTAATGTAAGTGTAAATTTTGAAAAACACTTGGCATAACTCATAAATGTTACCTGTACAAAGAAATCATACAATTTGTTGAAATGTGTTAATTGACATGGTAGAAAATAGCGGCTAAGTCAATTGGTGGGTATAGATAATCGCCATACAACAAGCAAACACGTAACGGTCGATTGTGATGATAATTCTGTGATTTCTCCATAATAATTCATGACCTCGTATTAACTCATTTCAATCTTCGTGTTATATTTTTTCAGATATACGATTTCTATCGTCCACGCCAACTTTCATTGGCAAATCAAAAAAAGATACAAACAATTACAATCGTTACACCAACAGTTGATTCTGTTTAGAACTGGCTTAAATATACCCTTGCCGACAAAAACGCACAAGAACAAAAGAAAATCTCTCAAAATCACTAGGAAAAAGTCGAAAGGCAGCAAAAGAAAAATGGCCCTACCGCGGTAAGTTAAACTGTTTATGTTTTTAACACCTGTATTACTGCTTCTAACATTTGTATTGCGTGTTGATTCTTATTATTGTTAGTAGGGATTTCATTTTATACTGAAATACTGTGTTCCGTATTTCCTTCCGAATTTTCCTCTTCCTAGTTTTAGGACAAGTAAGCTTTAACTTATTCATTTCCAGTTTTAAATAAAGTTTTACAGCTATGTATATTTTGTCTCATACTAAGGACGCCGACGAATATCCTCTCTTTTTGTTTACATTGGTCCTTGTAACATGATCTGAACAAATATCTTATGGATATACAATGCAAATATACTAAAACTTTTATTTTAAGTTTTTTTTAAATGAGAAAGAAAAAGAAAATCGCATATTCAAAAAGTTAGGAAAATTGTACCTTTACTGACCTCACACTAGACGAAAGAAAGAAAATTATAGCGAAAAGGAATTAATGAAATTAACATGGGATACTGTGAAATTACAGTGATACTTCGACATACGCGTTTAATTCCTTCCTTAACCTTGCTCGTATCTCAAAGCAATGTTCCCCATTGAAATTAATTGAAATGCCGCCATTAATCCAGTCCAGCCCCCAAAACTTTACAAGAATATGCATTTTTTTTTCGTCACGCTTTGGTCGTTTTCACCCGTTGAAGGTGTGTTGTTTGTTCCTCCCTTTCGACACATTGCGGAAATGCGTTAGGCAACTTTCGTTGAACAACTCCGATGCACGACCAGTTGCAACTTTTTCGGGATGATTTTTACCCTAAAACTTTTTCCCACGTTCTTATGATCTCCTTTATATTCTTTGTAGGATAACCTCTTCCGTCTCTGGTTCTTCAAAACCAATTTGTCTTTGAACCACCGTATGCTGCTGCAAATATAGATCGTATTACTCCTCGGTTGTCAGCTCCTGGAACTTTTTCTCGACGAGTTCGATCAGATTTCTCTCATCCACCTCCATAGCCATGGATTTTTCCAGAGTAACAATCTCCTCTATCACTGACCCTTCGGGTTCCAATCCTTCGAAGGCCCTTTCAGCTACAGCCTCAGCACTCAGTTTCGTTCAAGCAGAAAAGTTTCACAAAAGGTGTCCTCGTGGTGACACCTAGCCGGGCCTAATCAATAATTGTTAAGCATGTAACGATGATAAATTGGTCCTTCCAGAACTCTTGAAGGGTAAGGTTTGTGTTCTCCCTCATCTCAAAGCAGCACCAAAAAATGAGCTTGATGTAAAGCTTGAGTCATGATATTGGGTGGTTGGTAGAGAACCGTTATAAACTTGAACTCTTCGAGATTTGGTGGGTGAGCAGGGACATTATTGAGGCGAAAACGGCTTGCATGAGCAAGCTGTGTTCTGGAGATATTTTTTAACAGAAGGGTCAAAGTCAGGTTGATCCACTCCACAAAGAATTTCTTGGTGACCCACGCCTTCGAATTTACCATCCACATCCTCGTCCTCAGTCCTAATCCCTTTTGAGATGGGGTGACACTATCAGGCATTTACAGTTTTTTCACGATTTCTCTTCATCCTTCCCTATCCTGAGCTAGTTGTTCGACTATCAGTTTTTCCATCGTACCTGTTCTTTTAGTAATGTGTCAAAAATACTGCAAATATCTGTGTTGTATTTGTTTAAGCTATCTATCCTTTACGTGTGATGATCAATCCAGGATATTCTTAACATGCGACGGTATACCCACATTTCAAAAACGTCTAATTTATTTTTATCGACTTTCTTGAGGTCCACGTTTCGAATGCTTATGTGGCTATGGGAAAAGACTATTTGTATGTATTGTTACGCTAGAATTTTTCCAAATTGTTACCAGTTTCATCATAGCTATTCTAGCAATCAGTTAGGTTAGGTAAACTGAGAGTCACGCAGAGAAGAATGGAACGGTCCATGTTAGGAATAACTCTCCGAGACAGAATAACAAACGAAGAAATCAGGAGAAGAACCGGAGTGACTGACATCATCGAGAAGATAGCCAGACTAAAATGGAGATGGGCAGGACACAAAGCCAGAATGACAGATGGGCGATGGACAAAAAGGTTATTGGAATGGAGGCCAAGGGAAGACAAAAGAAGCGTCGGTCGACCACCAGCAAGATGGACTGACGATTTAAGAAGACTCAATAAAAACTGGATAAGAGCGGCGCAAGATAGACGGGGTTGGAAACATGAGGAAGAGGCCTATGTTCAGCAGTGGACTCTTGAAGCTGGATGATGATGATTCTAGCAATAGTCAACCTTCTACGTATCTCTCTGTCACACCCTCCGTTATTTGTTATTGGAGACCTCAGGTATATGAAATTATTTACTTCTTCAAAGCCCCTAATTTCTTTAATGTGTTGAAGATTATTCCGAGCTCTATCTACTATCATGATCTTTGTCTTACTCCTATTTAGCTTTAGTCCATATGTTTTGCTTTTCTCCTCCAGACATCTCATTATGTCTTCCATTTCTTCTTGATTTGCCGCGATTATTAAAGTGTCATCAGCATATCTCAAGTTACTGATTTTTTGACCTCCTACACTCCTACCTCTTGCCTGACACCTGCCTCTGTTCTGAAATGGTCGGAATGGGTGTTGTTTGTGTTTACTGCGCACTTAGTATTTTCATATAGACTTCTTATTAGTTGAATTAAGTGATAGGGTGTTTCCATTTCCGCTAGTATTAATCATAGCTGCTGCTTGACTTTATCGAAGGCATTTGTGTAATCCTCAAAGCACATAAGCATAGTAGTATTGAATTCACGAGTTTTTTCGATTATCTGTCTGACATTAAGGATGTGTTTGTTCTCTTGTGCCTTTTCCGAGGACAAATCTCGCTTGTTCTTCTGATATCTGAGGCAATAGAAAAGCTTTTAGTCTTTCATGTATTACATAAAGTAGAACCTTGCTTGCATGGGATAAGGGGGTTACCGTTCTGTAGTTGCTGCAATCTAGCGGTGTTCCTTTTTTGAATATATGGATGAAAGTGGATGTTGTCCAGTCGTTGGGACACTCTCCGGTTTCCCAAACCTTTTTGGAGATCATATGCATAACATTGACTCCAACATCTTCAGTATTTTAAAACTTCTGCGATTATCTGGTCTGCCCTAGGAGAATTTTTCTATTTAACTTTAACCTTTTTTATTGCTTTTTCTACCTCTGACCTTAGAATGTTTGGTTCTCTCCCTGCAGTGAACTCTGTCATGATTCTGCATATAGACTTTGACAATATTTTCTCCATACCTCCGCAATCCCTTTCTCCTCATTTATAACATGTTGGTTTGGAACCAATATTATTTGTGAGATTGGTTTAAATTCCCTGGATAGATATCGGACTTCGTTATATAGCTCATTGGATTCATACCGGTTTGCATGTCTCTCTAGTTCTTCGCATTCTTCATTTGTATGTTTATTTTTATCATCCCTACATTTAATTTCTCTATTTAACCTTGCTAATTTGCTTTTGTTGCTGTCGTTTTGAAGTACGAGAGATTTGATTCTCCTTCGCTCTTCGAGAAGTTTCAGCGTTCTGTCTGTCATCCAGTGTTTTCTCTTAATAATCTTTCTTTTTCGGTTCTGGTTCCTTCTACAGAGGTTTCTATGGCATTTCTGAAACGTTTCCACATTTCTTTTGGGTTGTCTTGTTTGTTCAACGTACTAGTTTCCTTTAATGTATCTTTAAATGTTTTCGGATTTGAAATCTCCAACCTGTTTTGGTTTTGGTGCGGTATTGTTCTTTTTAGCTTCATCTTAAAGCAAGCCCATAACAATTTATCATCGGATCCACTTGCAGCTCTTGGTCTATTTTTACGTTTGTAAAATATGTCTTCTATCTGTTTCTAAACAATATGTAGTCGATTTGGTTCTTGTATTCTCCATTTGATCTGGTACACGTCGATAAACGACAGGCATGATGTTTGAACATTGTGTTTACAATGACCAAACTGTTTTTGTTGAAAAATATATTAAACGTTCGCCTCGGCTGTTTCTAATAGTTTCCTAACCCAACCCATAGTTTCGTACTTTAGATGAAATATTTCTTATTGTGTCTTCAATCTATGTCTTCCACTTCATTGTCTAACGCGTCTGAGGTTATTTTTATAAGTCTGTCATTTATCGGTTGGTAATCATACACATATTGTGAAACTTTTTAGTGACCATAATTGCAACACAATTTCTTCCTGTGTTATTTGCTCCCGATATGTATAAAATATGATCTGCCGTTCGGAAGTGTCCTTTGTCCTTTCCAATGGGTCTTCGAAAGTCCGCATATTTCTATATCTTCTCTTTCGACTTCTCGTTGTGGTATATACAGTGTGCCTGGTTGCAATAATCCTCGAACATTCCAGGTTGCTGTTCCCATTGCTTTTCTTAACTGAAAATCTGATTTTTTTCCAGTCGTCAATTTCGCCTATGTTGTCTGGATGCTCACTAGACTGTATAATGTAGAATAATTATTGTAATGGTGCGATATTAACCTGGATACTAATTTAATAAAGTAAGCATATCAGCATTAAGACAATTTGTCCAATTCATAGGTACACTCCTAATAAACTGTATCCCTCCCTCTCTCTACAATTGTTTAATATATATTTTTAACAGAAAATGCAGGGGAAAGTTTTCTATTTAAGTTTATATTTTTAGGTTTCCTAAAAAACCGGAGGTTTTAGTAACTTACGATCGAATCGGTAATAGAATGAAACAAATCGAAAGTTATTTAAACAACTTACTATCAATACCGATTTACAGGAATCACCCTGCTACCGTAAGCATACTTTTTTGATATTTTTTGTTGTTGCTATATTGTTTCGGGATATATTACTCATCATCGGTGTATTTAAAATTATCTAGGACAACAAGGTTATTGGCATTTTTACGTAATTCACTAATCTAAACTGATACGATTATTTACATAATTATAGGAAACATTTCTTTAGTTTGTTTCGTGACCATTAAAAAGTCATGTTATTACTATAATGTAAAAAAGTGACTTTTATATTTTTATCTGCGGTTGTTTTAATGGACTCGTGTATAGAAAATAAACCACTTTATGAGGCGACAATAATTTTATTGGATTAGAGAGTTTGATTTGTTTATTATTATTATTATTAAAATATAAAAAGAATTATAAAAATTTCTGCTACTTTTTTTTGTAGTAAGTATATTTAAATTAAATCAAATTTATTATTTCAAGAAGAAAATGCAATATTTGCTAACAAGTTCAGGTTGTTTTCAATAATAATAGTCCAGGCTGTGAGGCCGCTCCCGTTGGGAAAATGTTTCTGATTCGGTTTCTTCGCGGATTCCGGTTCAAAAATGTCCCCTTTAAACAAATCTGAAGGGTGCCGGGCGAAAGTTTTGGGCAGAAATTGTTTAAACAATTTTTTTAAACAAAGTCCAAAAATAATTTTTTTTAATCTGGAAAACGTTTTTTTTAGGTTTTTTGGGCCATTTTAAACAAAAAAGTTTCTTGTCATTTTTCTCTAAAGTTGATATTTTTCGAGTTATAAGCGATTTAAAGTCTGAAAAACGCGAAAATACGCATTTTTGAGGCTTGAAAACACATATGTAAATTACTATTTTTGAGGTTACCAAGTGTCTAAATTAAAGTTTAAACATTCAACTTCAAGATTGTGAAGAGTAATCGGGGCTTATTTTAATTTAGACCGTTGTTTTTTAATTGTTAAGTATGCGCGTACACTCGATTTTTCAGCCGCCGCGGCGCCGCGCGCTACCGTGCGCCTCTATCGTACTTATGCATAGTTTACATATACTTACAAATAATTATTATTTATTGAGTATATATTTATTTATATCAATTGAGTTATAATATAAATTTCGTCTAAAGTCTAATAATAGTTACATAAAATAATTGTACAAAAGATTGTTAAATAACACACTAATATCACTCAGTTAAAAGTATCTTTGTTTTCACAAAAATCTAAATCACATCCACATAATGGTACACAGTTGACATGATTTTTCTTGCAGTTGCAAGCATTAGTTTTGCAAGTCTTTTTGCATTTGCACGGTTTCCCAACCCACCACTATCAGACATATAATATCCATATTGTGTAAAATCGAGAGTTTGATAGCGGGAATATATGGCATTTCGCCAAATTTATGTTTTAGCGAAAGCTCTTAACAAGTGTTGGTAAAGTGCGTCAGAGGTACAAGGTATATTGGCTAGATTAAATTAAATTTTTCAGTCACACTGTCTTTTCGTCGAAGAGCAGCATTTTGTATTGTTATGTAAAAATCTACTTTAGGTTTTTGCACTAACTTAATATTGTTGATGTTATTACAAAAAATACAAACTAAATTTTCTTCGGTAAGTTTTCATTTAAGAAGAGGTACGGAAAAAGACATTTTAAATCCATTCACAATTTTTTTAATAACACATTAATAATATAATACCCTTTTAATGGGCATTAAACAATAGTCTTCCTAATGATCGTTTAAGTAATAACAAATCAAGTATGAGCGCGCGATTGTTAAACAGGTAAAAACTTGCATTTTTGCGATAGTATATTGTTTTTAAACACCGCGCAATTTAAAATTAAGTTTACTAATATTAATATTTACTGCATTGTATTATTTAAATAATAATTTAAAAATATTATTTACACTTGATATAAATAAATATATACTCAATAAATAATAATTATATTGTTCAAATTTGGAAGAAAAAAAAACTATATACGGTTATTACATTGCGATGATTGATTTATTTAATTAGCCCAAAAACTATGTTAATAAACTTCAAGGATTTGTTCGGGTTTTTTTGCGTAAGTGTATATGTAAACTATGCATAAGTACGATAGAAGCGCACTCTAGCGCGCCGCGCCGCGGCGGCTGAAAAATCGAGTGTACGCGCATATTTAACAATTAAAAAACAACGGTCTAAATTAAAATAAGCCCCGATTACTCTTCACAATCTTGAAGTTGAATGTTTAAACTTCAATTTAGACACTTGGTAACCTCAAAAATAATAATTTACATATGTGTTTTCAAGCCTCAAAAATGCGTATTTTCGCGTTTTTCAGACTTTAAATCGCTTATAACTCGAAAAATATCAACTTTAGAGAAAAATGACAAGAGACCTTTTTTGTTTAAAATGACCCAAAAAACCTAAAAAAAACGTTTTCCAGATTAAAAAAAAATATTTTTGGAATTTGTTTAAAAAAAATTGTTTAAACAATTTCTGCCCAAAAATTTCGCCCGGCACCCTTCAGATTTGTTTAAAGGGGACATTTTTGAACCGGAATCCGCGAAGAAACCGAATCAGAAACATTTTCCCAACGGGAGCGGCCTCTCAGCCTGGACTATAAGTAATTAACTCCTTATTGCATGTATTTTTTATAAAAAAAATCTATTATTACAAACAACTTGACTTCAAGATTACGGTAGAAATGTAAAAAAGTCCTACTTGGTTAGTTTTTTTTGTATTTTTTTTGTGTCATATCGCTCACTGGATGCAATAATAGTACATTGAGATTTTCGTGAATATTTTTATGTTGGTTCTAAATATTTTTCTCATGTCATGTTATTTATAAAAAAAAACATAAATTGTTTAAAAAAAAAGTATTTGTCTTTATTTTAAAAAATAAATAAATTTATTAAAAATGTGTCATTATTAATATTTATATTTTCTTTAAAGCAATTAGAAAAATAGGTAACAAATCGAAGACAAGGAATATAAATAAATACAAAATACTGTTGAGGTTTTTTATTTGACAAAATATGGCAACTTGTTTCTGTAAAAATTAAACCAAGAAACAAAACAGAAACAAAACAGAACAAAAAAGAAACAAACTGTAACAATAAAAAAGCTTAAACTTCTTTTTCCTCCTTCATTATACTGTGTGTACTTGTGTAGTAACTTTCGATCTTTGGAATTGATTCAATGTGGGTACGAATATCAATTTTGGCACCAGACTTATTTATTGATTTTCTTGTCTTCCTCTTTTCTCTTCGAAAGTACCTTCTATTTCTCCACTTGCAACGGCTTGTTACTCACAAAATAGATACAAAAAATATCTTACATATTCGAATTTTATGATCATATATATATAATAACGGATTGATTACGGCTGTCGCCGCTTCTCCGCCCCCAATTTTCATCTTTTTCTGTCATATGCAGTTGCCTCTTCTAAGTCTCTTGCCGCCATTGCTTCATCAATATCGTTGCGCCAACTTCTCCGTGGTCGTCCTCTCTTTCTTCTTTCAGGAGGGATCCATTCCAGTACTCTTCTAGGCCATCTGTACTCTGGCATTCTTTTAACATGTCCGAACCAGATTAATTGTTTTCTTTCTATGTCATCATTGATATTTTGCTCCATTTTCATTTCGTTTCTTATTTGTTTCGATCTACCGCAGCTTCGTCTCAGATAATCCATTTCTGTCGTCATAAGTTTGTTTTTATTATTAGCTTTTTAAGAAGAGAGTTTAAGGCATGGGTCGCTGCTCTATCCTTGTTTATTCTTTCCCTGATTTCATCTGCGCTATTTCCCTTCTTGTTGAAATTGACCCCCAAATATTTGCATGATTGCACGCCTTTGATTTTGTCGTCTTCCAAGACTAGGTCACATATTTCATCTGTTCCCACTGAGAGATATTCACATTTTGTCATATTCATGTTTAGACCTGCCACCTCATATTTTTCTTGCAGTTTTCTTTCCATATAGCTAAGATCGTCGCTGTCTTCGGCAATTACTACCTGGTCATCCACAAAGAAAAGTGTATATAGCGTGTTTTCTTCAACCGTTATTCCCATGTTTCTACAGTTTTTTACCCATTTCACTAAGGATCTGTCCAAATAGATTTTAAATAAGGTGGATGACAGACAGCAGCCTTGTCTTAGTCCCTTTGTTGTTTGAAAAGGGGAGGTGATTTCTTGTCTCATTTTAATTCTTGCAAAGTTTTGTTCGTAGTATTTTTGAGTGGCGTTAATAAGAATTGGGTTTATTTTGAAGTTACCCATTTCTATCTATAGTTGGGAGATCGGTACACTGTCATATGCTTTTTCCAAATCTATTAAAGCTATATGAGTTTCTCTATTTCTCTGCACTTGTTTTTCCATTGCAATTTTTAATGTGAAAATATTATCCATAGTGGAGCGTCCGGCCCTAAATCCCGCTTGTTCTTCGGGTTGTTTGTCTTTAATATAATTTTCTATCAGGTTTCGTAGTACTTTTGAGTATAGTCGGCCTATAGTAGCAATCACTGCGATCCCTCTATAGTTTTTATGATCATCTTTTGGAAAATAGAATGCATTGTAATTTGTTCGTTTTTTATGTAAAAGTAAGAGAGTGTGGTCTCACTTTTCATAACTTCTTCTATTTGTGACGAAATAAATACTTTTGTTTCTCGATATTGCTCAAACTCCAGTATTCGCTAAATAGCTGTTCTCTTCCCAGAAAAACTTCCCTTGAAAATAGAGGCGCACACTTAAATATGCAATGTTCTTCACATGGTGGTTTAATTTCTCTGTTCGCTAGTTGTTGACCTTTCTATGCCTTTTCGCTATTTCTTTGGCTACTAAGTTTTGGCTTGGTTCCTCTTCCAATTTTCAAGCATCCTTTGTCTCCTCCTACTTTTCTTTTTCGCCTCAGGTTCTTCTTCCACATTTTTTTCTTTTAAAACTCGTAATGGCTTTTTTTCGTCGCTGCTTAAAAAAGTGTTTGTGTCGCCCTCATAATTTGGATTAGCAGTAGAGTCATCTGAAAAACTTGGCACTTTCCTCTTTTTGCTCTCTCTCTCTCCCCTCTCCACCGTTTCCTGGAGACCCAAAGTATTCAGTTTTTGGATTTGGTGAGTTCGGATAGAGTGTCCTGCTTGTTCTTCGTAAGCCCAATATCAAAAATATCAGTGTTGGCTCCGAAAAAAAGTCATTTGAGTTCAGTTCTTATTCTTGGTCGTATTCTTGATCACGTGGAGTTTTGCCAATGTTTCCAGCGGAGCTTATATTTTTCTTAACGTTTTCACAACATGTAATAAATATGTTAAATATCATGATTAACCGTTTTCCGTAGTTTACTCTGTAAATTTTAATGTAATTAACTATTAGCTAACTACGATTTTGTCAATTTGTCACAATTTTTTAGATAGAGTTTTTGGAAGTATCTCATTTATCATTTGTTGAAGGACTGGGACTGAAAGGTAAAGAGGGGTTTGTTAAAAAGCGAACGGGAAGTACACACCCCGGACAAACTGGGTGTATTTTCTTCGGATTGTGCCACTGTTTTTGTTGCGTAAGGTGAGTAGTCTAATTAATATAATCAATACGTTAATCGAAATTAGAATTTAGAAATTGTTTAATCGAGTGATTTAACGAAGTTTTTTTCTTTAATTTCAATTTTTGTTGTGATTGTAACAACACTGGCTGTCACAAGTATTACATGTAGTTGTTTCAAAGAACGTTGGGCGTCAATGTGTAGCAAGGGAACGTTGAGGTCTAATTGTGCACTGTATATTCATACAAGAATGTACCTACATCTGAGAGAGCTAGTCGAATCCACTCAACAAGAGAACAAGCTTTCAATTGCTATACAATTGGTGCCCAACGTGGGGATCACCGTTGACTGACATATCTGAATGAGAATTTTAGAGCACGAAAATCGGGGAGAGCATAGTAAATAAATTCAACATTCTTCAACCAATTTAACTCTTACGTCACAAGACACGCCATTGATGTCACGTCTCAAATATTATATTTCAAGCGACCTCTGTAAAGCGTCAACTGTCAAATCGTTTTCTTTTTTTATCTGCCAAATGCAATAATTTTTGATCTAATCTGTAAAGAATTCTACTATTTGGGAGATTTGGATATTATAATGAAGCTGCTTTCAAACGCCTATACACGCAGCAAAAATGCAACATTCTCTTGTTGACATTATTGTTTTTGTTTTTTTCTGCAGCTCCTGGTACTTTACAAGCGGTTGTCTACTTTATGTTCTTTTTCGTCTTCTTATATACAATCCAAGCATCTTTAACATTAATTCCTCAATGCGTATAGAAACAAAACTTTTTTATATTTGTGTATTTACTATAAGTGATAAAGGTTTTTGTTGTTTATGTAATTCGTCGATTAAATGTTTTTTTATATATAATTTTTCTACGTTACACTTAATCAATATTTATATTTTACATATAAAAATCTTTGCTAATTATCATAGCATGTTATTAAAAATAATGATAACCCATTTGCAACTGATGTTTAAAGACAAATTAGCCAATAATAATTTGTTTATAATATGTTTAATATCAACTGGAGAATTAATTTTAAATACAACGCATTTATCACAGAAGTTGATTTTGGTTGTAATGATTTTAACAACAGTCATCTACATTTTTTATGTCTTCGTCATCTCTAAGTAGGGTCGTCTTTTAAAATCAGATTTCTCCTATAAAGTTAAATTTTTACTAATATGGTATCACTCGTTCTTACGATTATTTCTCTATTAGCAATGATATCGATTCTCTGAAGATTATCAGAAATGAGCCAATCTCCCAATTCAATAAAACAAGTAATCGAAAGAAGTATTGACAGACTAAAAAAAGATTGCGTATTCCTCTCTAATTATAATCAAAGTTTTCGGTCCAATGATGGCTCTGCGTCTTTGGCCAACCGTAGATCATCAAGGTTCCAGATTGAAGAACACCTTGAACTTGACAGAAGGTCCAAAATTTTGATGTCTGTCACAAAACACAGTCTCCGTCTATTTATTTATAATCTGATCATTCTTTGGCTTACGCCTTTTAAAGAAATAAAGACCAGATTGTATAACACAAATATTGAACCAGATTCAGCTAGTTATATTATACGACATATTTTATCAATATTTTTATACACTTTCGATTTTAATTAAACAAATAATCTAAGCAAATGCAGCGACCTAATGTAAAACACGAATATTAACCTTAACTTATGTTGTAACGAAATATATTTGCCTACCACATAGGGTATGATTAGGGGGTTGAAAATTGGGGACAGAAGCTACTTGGGATGGAGATAGGGCAAGAAAAATAAACGATACTTGTGCGAACGGCACTCAGGACTTAATTGGAGAGCTGGGGTCGTGGATAAGTGAATGGCAAGGGGTCGGATTGAGGCAACTACAAAAATGAAACAAAAAGAGGGTACTTACATAAATCTCCTGGACAAATGGGCAAACAAAAACAACAAGAAAGACCTCTAGCTATTTGAAAAAGGACACCACTTCGAAGAGTCCTTATCTTGCTGGATAAAGGAAAAAAGGCTCTTCTTTCCTAAAATAAAGAACACGAAAAAGGGTTAGGAGAGTTTTTTAAAATAAATATACAAAATGATTAGAGAAATAAATTAAGCATTTATTGTTATCTCAACACAAACAGTTACACATACAGATAATACAAAAATAATTACAAAATATATAATTACAAGGGTTTATACCAAAATAATGAAAGAAAAAAAATTTACATATCCTATCATTTTAATAAGATCTGTTTACAATTGGGAAGTGCTACAAAACTTTCAAAAATTGTTATTAAGTTATCAGTTAACTGAGCTATAAATTGTGGCAGAAATAAATTATTAAAATTGAAGAATTACCTTTTAAAAGAAAACATCATAAAGGTTAACCTTTTCTAAAAACAAAATAAACAATGTGACAAAAATAATAAGGCTAGCTGTCATATGTCAACATTTAATTTGACGACAGAGAACAATTAAAATGACAGCATAGCCATACCCTAAGATTTACAATATTAAATATTAAAATTTTTAAATTGTATGAAAGCAATTATTATTGTTTAGAAAAAAAATGTCTATCTTTACTTTTAAAATTTGATCACAAAAAAAGTTACCTGAGTTTCACAAAAAAATTGCACTAAAATTTCTGGGGTTACCTTCTCTGCCACGCAAAACTGCATCTCCAAACTGTGAACAAAAAAATCTCGAAACGGCTACTTAGGACATTGAGGACTAAAATGGGCGGTACTAGATACAAACTTCAGACTGCACGTCTTAAAAAACAGGACACTGGAACATCAAAATTGCTGCAGGTGACACAATCTCTTAAATACTTTTTCAACCTCATCTGTAACTATTACACGTACTTTACAATTAACTGGCACTACATACTAGATTTCCATTAAAAGGGGCAAAACACAAGAAACATTTCAAATTTGATGAATAAATTTGCATCAACAATGAAGCCAACTGCCCTGACAGCGACCTAAGTAAGAATGAGCAATTATTATCTTTAAAATTCATTCGCATAACTTGACATAAACAAAACACTGACAACGAATACGGAAACGCAAAATATCGTATTTCTTCGATCAAGAAATGTAGAGAAAATACGCATCTGTGAAATATAAACAAACTATAAAAAGGTTTACATTAACTCAAACGACGTAAAAAGGAATTGAAAGCATATTTGGGTTTTAACTCGTACGATAGGAACAGAGAAACTTGGAAAACATTCTTCGTTATTTTAATACGTATATGAGGGGACTTCAATTTAATACCTATACGAGGGGATTCCAATATATACCAAGGAATTTATATATCAAGGAATTTAAAAATGCTACAATGTACTGACATTTGATTACGATTTTTTTAATGACTAGGTATATAGATAATATAAATATGTACTAATATATTTCAGGTTGCAACACATCACTCACGATCTGATGTGTACGCGATACGTAAAACGTTGGTTCTTTGTGAAAGATACCTATTTCGGTTACATCAATCCAGACACGGGACGGATCAAGGCGATCGTTTTGTTCGATCAGGGATTCGAAGTAGCGGCCGGATTATACGCTACTGGAAACAAAAACGGTTTTCTGATTCAGACTTTAAGCAGAGAGCTCAGATTCAAGTGTTGGACCAGGAGGAAAAATAAAGAATGGACGGATCATTTGAAAGAAATCGCCGCTACTACAGGTGAGTCTTGTTTTGTAAATATTAGTATTCCGTTTTGCACCCAACACGGGTAGTAGTTTGATGGAAGGAACATATCAACACTAAGGTAACAAGTCCATTCCTTGTAGATACACTTCAATTAAGATTTAGATCTCTCTACATGTTTGGTCCTCGAACCGGAATTTCCAAAAATGTATATGCTTTGCACTTTATAGATACACTTCTAATAATGTTTTAGTCCATTAGGTTGTTTGATAAGTTTATAAGTTTAATAAGAGATAGGTTAGTCGCTCGTCTCATAAGAATTGTTCTTTTATATGACCCCTCCTTTATATTTCTATTTTGGCCTGTTCCTGTGGTTTTGACACTTCTCTCCTTATCTGGACTTTTAGCTGCTTCCTGTATACGCTGTACAGCAATCACTACTCTATCGCTAGCACAAAGGCCTAACGTCTAGAAAGTTCGAAATGGCTCATCATCAATGGCTAAAATTTGCTCATCTTTTTTCTTATTCTACTTGTTTTCCTATAATAATTAAATTTCCGTGCTTTGTATCTCTTAAAATGTGGGTATCTCATCCTAGTTTAGATATACAGGATTATTTCGTAAAGTTCAAACACTACCCTACTCTTCTTTATCTCTACGTATAACCTTTTCGCCTTTTTGATTCTGCCTTTTAAATAATTAAAGACCAGATTGTATATGTACAATATTTACAAACATTGAACACGTTCGGTTAATTAAGTTATAAAATGTTATAAACTCTGGTGTTTAGGCACTTTCGGCAGCCGACAGTAAACATAGAACTTTATAGCTACTATGTGTATAAATAACTTTACTTAATCATATTAGAGATGTAATAAAAAAAATTTTACCACTTCGTTATCATATTATGGTAACTACCGTAGTAAAATGTGTTTTTCTGATTTCTTTTAATGGTTTTTTATTATGAAAACGTTTCTAAAAATATTTCCGGCCTTTATCGATAATTAATTCACCAAATTTTGGGTATTGCGATATAATGTTTCCTGAAGCCGAATTATTTTGTGGTGTTAAACCCACAGCAGGAAATTTTAACTGATATTTCCGGACTCGTTACAATAATACTTGTGAAACTTTCACTTGAAAATTTGTTATATTTCGACGATTTATAATAATAAAAAAAATACAATGTGCCACTGATAACTGGCCAAATCATTCTCGCAATCAATCCAGAAGATCTTCAAATTCTGCCTACCTTCAATTCACCTACTTCTCAAAAAATTATATTTTCAATGTTGATTCTTTATTGTTGATTCAATCCTCAAATCCATAAAGAGGTAGAGAGAGTACCTAACGGTCCACTGTGCTCATTCTCAATGCAAGAGATTGTTCTGGTGATGTAAACAATTTCTTCATTCTTGGTTTTAAACTCATCTCGCTGATTCTAGACAAGATCTCATTATTCTGGTTTATTGGTTGAATCATAGCTGTCATGCTGGATAGTAAGAACATGGCAAACATTTCTCCATCTTTTTTTCACGGGCTTTTTCACACATTTCACCACTCACCTAAGCATGCTTTCTCCGCTGTTGTAGGAACCACATGAACAACGCACTTTCTACCTTCGGATATTCGGGGGTTTGATGGTTTTCCTCTTCCCTGGACCGCTTGCCGTTTCGCTAACGAACTTTTAGATCTTTTCTTTGTTCTTTTTAATGTCTGTAATGGTAGATTTGCCAATAACGAATTGTTTTAAAATGAAACTGTAGCTATTTTCTTACTGTATCAACTTGAGAATTTTGGTCTTTTGTTCGATAGTCAAAGTCACGTGTTTAGGTGAAGCCATCGTGATACGAAAGCGCTAACAGAACTAAATAATATGTAGGTGGACAAGGAAAGTAAAAACCCATGTTAGTCATGTTGATTCATATCGATTCAATCATGGAGATGGCAGGGGGGAGTCGCGCAAACCCGTTCGAACGAGCTTGAGTTCATATTAACGCGACCGTACTTTATACATATATTTTATTTTTAATTTACAAAACATTGATCTGTAGAATTAACTAGTTAATGTTACTTTAAGCTAGAGAATTCGTTCAACCAAACAGGTATCATTCCTATGCTCCGATACGAATCAACGTCATGGCTTCTTGGTTCGTCGACGGGTCGACGTACATGTCATCAGTGGCAGATGCTCTGGAAAATGCCAAAGAAGAAATTTTTATCACCGATTGGTGGCTCAGTCCCGAAATATATCTAAAGCGGCCAATCATTCAAGGCGAATATTGGCAGCTGAGGAGGATATTAGAACGGAAGGCGGTAAGTGTATACGCAACTATATTAATCTTTTATATAAACTTGTTCATTTATATTTAGGATCAAGGAGTTAAAATTTACGTATTACTTTACAAAGAAGTCGAAATGGCTTTAGGTCTCAACAGTTTCTACAGTAAATGGAAACTGACGGAAACGAGGCCCAACATAAAAGTACTCAGACATCCCGATCACGCCAAAACCGGTATTTTTCTTTGGGCGCATCACGAGAAAATGGTGGTAGTAGATCAGACTTATGCCTTCGTCGGAGGAATTGATCTTTGTTACGGACGATGGGATGACGACAAACACAGGTAAATATACTATATATATATATATATATATATATATATATATATATATATATATATATATATATATATCGAGCACTTACTTTTATCGGTATTGTGAGATGGTATCGATAGAATACTCCGTAGGTGAAAAATTCGAAAATTGGGTCAAGTTCGCGCAATTTATTTGCATATTATATTGTGATAGATAGGTCAAGTGAATTTAGTGAAAATGCATTTTTATTTTCCATCCTGAGGTTTTAAATTGCATCTTACAAATTTTCGGAATGGAAACTTAGTTATTTGTGTTTGAGAATTTTGAACGGGAAGACATAATCTAAATGTTTATTTGTACAGCCCAAATTGCCTTGCGTTATTCTTTTTAAATGTTTGTCTCTGTAGATCGTATAAGTTCCTATTTAATACTTTTAGCATTCTGTCTCAACATAATCTAATAGTTCGTTTGTATAGCCCGATGCTTGTACCGAGATGCTAGTGTCTTTCTCAGATTTCCCTATTAAAAGGATTCGCATTTAAAATCGTGAGAAACTGTTTCTCAGTTTCCGGAGAATCCTACTTTGGTCCAGAACCAATCCTGGAATGCAGTTCAGCTGATTATTCCCTATTGAAAGGATTTTTTAAGATAGGTAAAGAAATAAATAAGACTTACAATCAATTTAATTTAACTATCAGACGACCGGTTTCGCTTTCTACAATATGCAAAGCATCCTCAGGTCTCGATACAAAGTTAAATAAATCCTGAAATGATAAAAACCCATATTAGGGTGTTGTCTAATAAAGATAAACAAAGTAGATGTTGTAAATTACAATAATTATGCCAATATTACATGTCTGTGGTTTTATTTCAAAAAGAGTAAGTTGAATAAAAAGGTATAAAAAGTTTTAAAAGTTTAAACAGACAAGGTAAGGCCCACAAATTGTTATAAAATAGTCTATTAGATTGTAATAAATTAATAAATGAGCAAATAAATAAAAATAAACATTACTTACATGCCGGTACTCTATTAATTGATGGATGGTAGAACATGGTTGAAACTACTATGTATTGTTGAATGGAGATACAATAGCAGAATTGAGTTCTCCATTCAACAATACATTGTAGTTTCAACCATGTTCTACCATCCATCAATTAATAGGTACCGGCATGTAAGTAATGTTTATTTTTATTTATTTGTTCATTTATTACAATCTAATGGACTATTTTATAACAATTTGTGGGCCTTACCTTGTCTGTTTAAACTTTTAAAACTTTTTATTCAACTTACTCTTTTTGAAATAAAACCACAGACATGTAATATTGGCATAATTATTGTAATTTACAACATCTACTTTGTTAATCTTTATTAGACAACACCCTAATATGGGTTTTTATCATTTCAGCATTTATTTAACTTTGTCTTATTTATTTCTTACCTATTTGAAATGGACTCGCACAAGCAACACATTCATGATTTGATTCTTTAAGAATTCTAAGAATTCAGTGGTTAATACATATGCAATTGCTTTAACATGGCGGCATTCTCACCGGCGTCTCAAGTGACGCAGATATCACAACAATTAAAATATTTTTCAATATATTTTATTGACTGAAGAAAAAAGAACAATTGGTTCATATATATTGCAGTGCAGTCATCTCGATTCATCAATTGTCTCTTCCATCTTCGAAACTCCTTTGTCCCTTCATTTTTTCCTATAACTTTTCTTTTGTATCTACCCCGGCTAGGAATATATTGAATTTTGGAGTGTAATTAATGTAACCCTTTATCATTTATCTTGCCCACTACTCCGTAATTTATTTTTCTCATATTTTATTGGCGACTTTACATTGATGAATAATTCTTGTTAATTGTTGTTGTATATTGCTACACACATTCATTTCTAAAATAATAAAAAGTGGTCACCATGCTTCGGAAGGCACGTAAAGTCCTCGGTCCGTCTGTGCTAGTGTGCATCTACACTAGTTATCTGAAACAGGGTTAAAGATGCAATTGGCGCCGAAGCCAAAATGCCATACGATATTATTATTATTATTATGTGCGTTATATCGCATTGCCTAGTGTTTAGAGAGTCTAGCAAAGTCGCAAAAAGAAAATGACTTGATAGCAGAACATACTTATTGATTTTTGTGGCAATATATCGTCGTGCATATATCCCTAGAGAGCTGAGAATGATAAAGGGAGTAGTAGTTCGTGGTAAAACGTTTAAAAGGATCATATAAATGAGACCTACTTGTTTTCATTCAGGAATTCAAACAATTTGGAGGTAAATCGTGATCGTTTGGTTAAGACAATTACCTAGACCTTGTGGTTATCCAGAACAAAATTGCCGCTCGGTAATGACAATAAATGCGACAATACAATGCTGACTCTTGGAGATATCGACCAGAATGACAGGACACTACATCATCTTACAATGTTTTGAAACTAGATACTAGAAAATGCGTTACAAGTTGGCAGGGCGTTATTGTTCTATTCCCCAGCTCATATATAAGCAATAATCAAGATATCTCGTTAATTAAACATACATAGCAACATACCGATTTGGTCAACATTGTGAAGAGCCGTAAGCTGGAGTACTTGGGATATATAATGGGAAATCAAGGCAGATACGAGCTACTCCAATGCATTTTGCAGGGTAAAATTGAAGGAAAAAGAGCCCCAGGACGAAGAAGAATATCCTGGCTTGCTAACCTGAGAGCATGGTATAGAAAGACTCCAACACAGCTATTTCGTATAGCAACCAACAAAGTCATCATAGCCAGAATGATCGCCAACGTTCGGAACGGACAGGCACCCTAAGAAGAAGAAGCGTATGTTGTTTTAAAGAAAGTGATACATATGTTTCCAATTATAAATAACAATATACGGGGTGGCGAATTAGCTTTACTGTGTCTCATATTCACAAAGCTTCAAGCTTACAACATTTGCCATTGTTCTAATGCATCCATTTCAGCTTGCAGCTTCGGGATAACATCGTATTCACCAATCACCACCGAAATTATCTTCTACGTTTTTAAATCTTTCATTCGATCGTTTTTTTTTACCGTATCAAATTTTTGAAATCGTAGGCTTCCACGGCCAGAGTCAGAATTATAGTTTATTCGTCTTCCGGGTTTGGACCGTGTCATTTGTGAGTGACCCAAAAGTGGGTTCATCTCGACGTTTCGCTACAATTGTATGTAGCTTCTTCAGGAGAACAAAGAAAAAGAAAAAGAAGACAGGAAGATGGGTAGTTAGCAACGGTAACTCAGTTACTCAACGCAACCAGAGGCGAATACTAACTACCAAGATGGGCATTTGGTCACAGTAACTCAACTACTCAACGCAGCCAGAGGTGAAAACCAAATGCCAGGACAGGGATTCACGTCCAACAGCTCAGAACACTAACGCGTCGAGAGGCGGGGAGTGAATCCGACTTTTACTCCGCTACCGCTCTATTTATAGTCGCGGTGACCTGTCGTGTCGGGACGTATCGGCACACTCCGTGGCGCGAACGTTAAGAAGCGCGCGCTGGCCAATCATGTGGCTGCATCGTGGTAGCGGGACCGGACGGCGGCTCTAGTCTGAGATTCCATATGGGAGACAAGTATCCTTCCTCTCGATTGATATTATGTGGATTTTTTCGGATCTCTAGAGATTCGCGGATTTTCCTGGAATAAAAGAAGGGGCTCTTATAAATAATATGGGTTTTTTCGAACAATATGGAATGACCGGTTTCTTGGCAGTGTTCTGCAACTGCAGAATGGGAGAAAAGACCTGATCGAATGCATCTTTGATGCTCTTGAATCCGAGTTTTGACGGAACGACCAGTTTCGCCAATATACACATGTCCACATGAACAAGGAATAGAATAGACACCACAGGAAGATAGGGGCGGTAATGGGTCCTTAGGAGAGGGTAGATATTGTGAGATTTTCTTGGGTGGTCGAAAAGTAGTCCTGATACCATCTTTGCGAAGAATTTTGCCAATCCTATCAGTGACACTTCGAATATACGGAAGAAAAGCCACAGGAGTATTACCCGAAGATTCTGAATTTGTCGCCCTAGGGTGTAAAGGGGGATGTAGATGTCGGTGTGTAATATTTTGAATTGTGGACTTGGAGTAACCGTTGGCGACAAGGGTTTTTTGCAGATGGCCAAGTTCTTCTCTAAGGTTGTCAGGTTCAGAAATCGAAATGGCCCGATGGATGAGAGAGTTGATCACAGAATTCTTTTGGGCAGGATGGTGGTGTGATGAAGCATGTAGGTAACGATTCGTGTGAGTCTTTTTTCTATAAACAGAGTGACCCAAGCGGCCATTGGGCTTGGAGGTGACTAACACATCGAGAAAGGGAAGGGACCGATCTAATTTTTCTTTGAAATCTTTGGTGGTATGTAGATTGTCGTGAATGGTCCCCATAATTGCCTTTAAATGGTGAATTTGGTAGTACTTAACCTTCACATGCAACTCTTTTTGAACGGAATTTATCTTGCACTTACCTTGAGAGTATTTGCTGATATGATCTTTCATCATTGCTGTAAAATTACTTATGTTTTTGAATAGGATTCTCCAAAAGTCTCACGAAATTCACTTGCCTATAATTTTTGGTCTAAAGTTTTTTTGGAGACAGCACAGTCTTTGAGTATAATATTCCAGGTTTGGCTTCGAATATACAAATTCTGTAACCTAGTCATCAATTGTATTCTTTCTTGTTTAATGATTTTCTCATCTTTGACGACTACTTCAAATAATCCTAGCTATGACACAATTTGCAAGGAGTTTTCTTAAAGTAGTTCCTCATTGCTGGAAAAATCTTACGTTTGTTACTCCACAATTTCTGTATTAATACCAAATTGTAGAATGCCACTGGATAGACCTTTTTCCTTTATGAATGATGGTGTTTGTGAGAGAAGTCAGTATATATATCATACACTGCTTACCCTTCTTCTTCTTTAAGTTCCACTCCTATCGGAGATTGGAAATCATTCTGGCAATTATAATTTTATTAGTTACTCGCCTGAATAGTTCAATTGAACTGCATCCAAACCACTCACGGAGATTGCGTAGCCACGAGATTTTACGTCTTCCTACGCTTCTTCTACCTTTGATTTTACCCTGCATTGTATTCCTTAGTAGTTTGTATTTTTCACCTCTCATGATGTGCCCCAAGTATTCCAATTTCCTGATCTTTATGGAATTTAAAACTTCGCATTGTTTTCGTAGTTGTTCGAGAACTTGTTCGTTTGTTTTGCGATCCATCCATGATATTTTCAAAATGCGTCGGTACCACCACATTTCGGACGCTTCTAGGATTTTAATGTTGGATTTTTTAAGTGTCCAAGCTTCAACTCCATACAAAAGGGTAGAGAGAATATAACATCGAAGCATTCTTATCCTATGACTGCTTACACTATGACATTCCAATCCATGCCCACGGTCGTATATCGTGTCAGAATTACTCTAGCATCAAGCCTCCTTGCTTTTCCAGCAAGTTCCTGGAATGGGTAGGATAGGAATCCGGTATGAGAGGCTTAGGCAGGACATGTCTGAGAGGGGGATTGATATTGTTATGACCCTAGATGGGAAGCTGAAATTAGAAACAGAATGATTATGTTACTCCAGCTTCATGTCACCACTGAGTGAGCACCTCACTTAAAATACCATAGGGCGTAGTTGGTGGCGTCAGGTTCGTAGCTTGTACCTGTTTTTGTCACACCGAGTCAGCTCCTCACGTAAAATGTGATTGTGAACGTTGCTTTGGACGTCTATATGAGTGACTTGCAACTTCAAAGTAAGAGTGGTGGGATATTCGACGACGACGACGACGTTATATCTCCTGAGACATTTTCGCTGTAGTTTTCGTATTTGTTATTGTGAATTCGTTTATTGAACATATTTGCGTGATATCTTAGATACATATTGTAGAGTTTTTTTATTTTAATAAAGAAAACTGTGTATTTTAGGTTAACAGATTTGGGCAGCATGACACCTTCCGTAGACGTCACGACTATCAAGAAAAAGACATCGAGTGTACCGACCGGTGAAACGATTTATCCGATTCCAATACCATATTACATGCAAAAACACGACCTACAAGAAACGGAACCTATTGAAGTGGAGGTGAAACCGACCTTACCTCAATTAGAGCCAGGCGATCATTTGATAATACCTAGCAAACCTCCAGTTAAGATGAACACGCCTGAACTAGAAAGAAAACATCACAGTAACGTTATTGACAGTTTAAAAAATAAAGGGAAGGAACTAATCCATTTAGTTTATACACCGCATGAACATGAGATGTTACGTGAGTCCGATTCCTCTATGAATGTGGTAAGATTCAATTTTTTTTCTTCTTTTTATTTGCCCCACTTGATTTTTCAATCCAAAGTACAGATAAACATTCAATATCAGAAACTGATTTTAAATAGCTCCAAATATTCTAGAAAATTAATCACGTAGTAGCTTTGAGATCTTTTTACAGGCTCTACTATATTGGCGACGTGCAAGTACTTGGATGTGATACGAGAAACGATCGTGCGCGAGTAGCGGAGAAATCTTGCATTTTTTACTGCACATTTCATAGATTTCATAAATTCATATTGTCAATTTTCATATTTCATATTCGTTTGTTTATTTACAGCTTCTTTCACTGAAGAAAATGGGATTTAGTAAATGCTGTGTTATAAATTGTAAAAATACAACAAAAAATTACTACTACTACTAAAGCTTTTCCCTTTGACTCAGTGCTTGGTTGAAAAGTTATTTGGTGATTTACTTTCTCAAATCCAGTTTTTATTATTGCATCCATATTAACAGTAATGTTGTAATTTAAGAATATATTTATTTGTATTTACACTACATACAACGTTTACCTTTTAATAACATACCGACATAACCTCAATCTTACTTTTTCTTCTTATTCTTTTTTGGGGCTACGTCCTTGACAGTTATCCGGTAACCTCGATCTAACATGAAAGCGCAGTAACTTTTGCTGATTTACGACACCAGGTGTCGCTCTTCCGAACTTGCACGGTCCCAATAGGACCGTCTTACGCTGCAATATAATTCGTCAAATCACATTTACTGTTTCATAAAAAATTACCAAAACTACTAAGTATCACTTAAAGGTTTTGGGATGTTTATCTCGAATCGGTTTTGTTGTTTTAAAGAAAAAATAAAAAATAATTGGTTAATACATTTTTCATTCAATAAATGTAATTTTTATATTCAATTGATTTGAAATATTTCCTTTCTAAATTGTCAAATTTAATTGTGACATTCTGACATTTTAATATGACATGACATGTGTCATTTTTTGTCAAATGTCATGTCAAACGTTGTTAGTATGGAAAATGTTAACGTATCAGTGCTCTAACTTAAAGGTAGTTAGTTGTAGTCTGTTCCAAGACTTACTTTTTATTTTTTACCAAATGTATTATCCATTTAGTTCGATTGACATTTTTTTGCTACCAGCAGTGACCAGATGTAAGTCTAATTTTTTTATATCTTCAGGGAAATCACGACGTAATTGACGGCAGAAATTCGAAAGAAATCGTCGACGAATTAGATGGATCTGCCAAACTTTGGATCGGTAAAGACTACGTCAACTTTATCGTTAAAGATTTTACTAATTTGGATTCACCGTTTGACGATTTTATCGACAGGATGACTACGCCGAGGATGCCTTGGCACGATATCGGTATGTGCGTCTTCGGTGATGCTGCTAGAGACGTTGCCAGGTAAGATAATAATTTTTCGTGATCGTTTCTATGTATCTTTACGTTCTAAACTCTTGTCAGTTGTCAATAAAACTTTTTAATTTCCTGGACTATGTACAAACTCCAAATTGGAAAAAAAACAAAAGTTATGTTCCAGAAATGAACATATTGTTTTAAAATATAAAATAAAAATGTAATTCTTTAGACTTTTCTTAGTGTAGAATAACTAGAATAGTCACTTTATCAAGTTTGAATGCGACACCCGACTGAGTGGCGTCTGACATCTAACCCTGTTAAATATTTTTCACACCTAAATAAAATAGGGGTAATCTTCCCGTTCACGCATTATGTAGTGTTTTATCAGTTCAGTAAGATCAGTTCAAGTTAACACATGGCCATCGAGGCATCGCATCGAGTCGTTAAAAACTTGCAATTCACGTATTAAATATTTCTCTCCGCCGAAATCGGGCAATTTCTCATAACGGTTTTTCCTGTACGTGTTATAAAGAAAGAGTACATTTGATATTGTATAGTAAGTTACGGCCGTGTTGGGCCTGTCTACTCCTAAAAGATTTAATTATAAATCGATAAACTCAAAAGTGATTTTATTTCTCTGGGGCTATATTTGCTCACATTAAGAATCCTTCTCCTTCAACGGTCACTGAAGAACCAAACCTATGGCGATGCATTCATTCACAAGTCCTTTGAAGTAACGCTTGGAATCCAAAGATTTCCAACTCTCGTGATAAGGTGTAGGTAGCCAGTTATAAGGCTCCCTCAAGTTATGAAGTCAAATGGTAAAGAAATCATAATAAACAACAAGAAATTATTGATACAGAAAAAATTAAAGATATTGGTAAACAAGAGAGTGATATTGAAGTGGACAGCCTTTGGTAAAACGAAATACATCCCACAAATAAGAAAATTCCTCAAAGACTGGTTGATCAATGTGTACTCCTAGTGCTAACATACCAGCGCTAACAAAACAGATAGTGATCAAAACAGACGTGACCCAAATGGAGAAAAGAATAGTAGGAGTTACTGAAACATAATTAGAAATGAACAAATCAGAGAGAGCACAAATGTAACAGAAAGAACCACAGAACTAAAATGGGACTATGCCAGTGGGAAAAATGGAGATCTGGTATGTAAAAAGAAGAAAAGGAAGAGCCAGGACAAGACGTTAAAAGGATCTAAAAAAGATGGCAAAAAACTCGGCTCAGAACAGAAAGAGACAGATATGTGGCAGCAATTTTGAATGCCAAAAGGCTAACGAAGAAGAATATACAAGCATTCCATTGAAACATATTTTTCCAGTATTGGGAAGGCACAAAGATAGGGAAATTTGGACAAGAACACGCTGTAAGCGCTATAGGTGGAAATTTTCCTTCGACTACAAATCTAGCTAGCTTAGCAAGACTAGAAGACCAACTTAAGATTCGGAAGACGATAGTTCCAGTTCACACGAATTTCTACTATCGACTTCGGTAAGAATCTTTACTTTTACCACTAGGATAGTGGAAGAGGTATTATAATGAGTTATCAGGAACTCAGTAAAATCGAAAAATCGCCGATCTAGACTAGGAAAACACCTCAGGATATAAAACCTGCTTTTAACGATGATGTTTAAGATAGTGTTCAAAGGAAGTATAAGTAGAATTGATATAAAGGAACCAAAGAAAATTATAGGATAGTACGGTGTAAACTGAGAATAAACCAAAGGAAGACAAATTATGCAGTTTTCGATTGAGAGATGCAGGATCAAGATGAATCGAAGATATCTGCGAATTAATATCACATTCGTGATCGTATAGTTTTCACATAGTTTTCGTGACTTTTTTCCTTTGCTTTTTATATAGTGTTGTACATCAACGATGACACTTAACGCTAACTTTATTTCTAGGCATTTTATTCAGAGATGGAATGCTACCAAACTGGAAAAAGCCAAAAGCAACAACGCTTACAACTACCTATTACCGAAGCAATACGACGGCTACAAAACGTTACCCATAGAATTTCCTAACAAACAGCACAAAGTTTCGTGCCAGGTCCTTCGAAGCGTCAGCTGCTGGTCGGTTGGTTATCTAGAACTCGATATGGTTGAACAAAGCATCCACGAAGCGTACATAGATACTATAACGAAGGCTCAACATTATGTTTACATCGAGAACCAATTTTTTATTTCCTTGTCTCGCGATAATGGCTCGACGAAAAATCAAATAGGCGAAGCGTTGTTCAAGAGGATTCTTAGAGCCCACAAGTAAGTTTAAATCATCAGTATCATTCATTTTTATCAATTAATCAGTGTGTCAATTTGTTATATTGTTGATTACGACTGTCTATATCTGTACATGAAAGGTTTTTTTATGGTGACTTGTGTAAAATGACCTTCTTCTTCTTGTAGTTTCTTCTATCCTAGGTTACAGCGCCGGGAGTACATTTCCTTATCTCGCACCGCTAATGATTATTCTCCACGCCCTTCCGGTAGGGATCTATGGAGGAGTATCAGCCGCAAGTAGGTGCGGGCGCCGCAAGCCCTTATCCATTGCCGTACTTCTCCACCAAAGGCCGATCAGACGTCAACATATTCTAATCTTAGCCGCAGATTCGTTTTAGAATTTTAAACTGCTGCGTTAGCTTTTTTATTTTTCTGTACACCGAGCCAAGATTTGAACGCACATCCACTTAACCATTCGACAGTGAAGCAACTGAGAGTCGGCTGCCTGACCCGCTTGGCTATCTGATCGACAAGTGGGAGTAAGCTATACCAATTTGACTAGTTTTTTATGGATATACCCATAAGCACCATACCTTCATATAGTTTTTTCTTATTTATTATTATAGCTATCCTTACCTTATTGATGGCTGCTCTGAAAAGATCTCCTGATCTGCAACTATACCACTCTCTTAGGTTTCTTACCCAGGAAATTCTTCGTCTTCCTATGGATCTTTTGTCCTTGATTTTAGCTTTATGACCTCGCAATCCTTTTGTAGCCGTCTTAACACTTCTGCATTTGTAACTCGTTGGGTGCATGGTATTTTCAAAATCCTTCTATAGTACCACATCTCAAATGATTCCAACTTCTTTATCTCCAGCTTTCCATTCCATACAACAAAGTCGATAACACGTAGCATCTTAAGGCTCTTATCCTCAGCTCCAGAGGAAAGTCTCGATTATCAAATATTGTTTTCATTTTTATAAATGTTTGTCTTGCAATTTCAATGCGTGTCCTTATTTCTCTACCGTGGTCATTGTTTTCTCTCGATATCTAGCCTTCCTACTGTACGTTGCTTAGAAATACTCATGCTTTTGGTTTTGTTAACGTTCATTTATAGTCCATATTTTATACTGACTTGATGTAATCTATTTACTAAGCGTTGCATTGCTTCTAGACTGTCTGCAAAAACAGCGGTGAGTAGATAGGCTACCTATATCTGTGGCCATCCCCTAAATCGCAACTCCAGGTCGTAAGTCCCAAACGGCTTAACGTAGGATGACGTACGAGGGCTCGTTGGGAAGGGGATGAAAAATGTGGTTGAATGAAATATGTGCCGTGTGCATTGGAGCATGCCGAAAGGACATTACTGGGTATCTTCGTTTCTATTGGTCCGATTGTGACGTACGAGGGCTCGTTGGAACAGAAAGAAGGCGGGGAGACAAAAAACAGAGATGACGGCATTGCCAAGTGGGCGCTAAAACGTATCTTCGTTGCTATTGGCCTGATTTTGACGTATGATGTGTCAAATGAAAGCGTTGGTGACACACAGAAGCCATATCAACGCTCGAACATTCTTCTTCTTTTCCGTACAGTGCCTAAGAGAACGTCGACGCAAGACGTGACATTTGACACAGAACGTAAAATGTCACGTGAAATGACGTGACATTCGACGCAGAAAGTGAAATGTCGCATGACATTCGACGCAGTACGTGACAATTATGTGACATTCGACACAGAACGTAAAATGTTACATGAAATGACGTGACATTCGACGCAGGACGTGAAATGTCACATGAAATAACGTGACATTCGACGCAGGACGTAACATTCGACGTAGAATGTGAAATGTCGCGTGAATAACGTGACATTCGACGCAGGACGTGGCTTTCTCGTTCCTAATCCTCCTCTGAATCCAAACTGGGTGTCACCTAAATCTTCATCTATTTTTTTGTATAGTCTTCCATGTATTATTTTGAGAGATATCTTAAGTATGTGGCTTATTAAGGAAATTGTTCTGTACTGGGAGCATTCTGACGCATGTACTGACTTTGGTAGTGTTACAAACGTGGAAAGTAACCAATCTTCGAGTATTACTCCTGTTATATATATTTTGTTGAACAGATCTAAAAGTATATGCAGTGTTTCTTCGTCAATGCATTTAATTAGCTTAGTGGATATTTGATTTGGTCTACTGATATTTGAATATTTTCATTATTTATTCTTGCCAAAACCTTAGTTTATCTTTAATGTCTGCAATGAGTTTACCATTATCATCTTTGAGTATCCCATAGTGTGCTCGCTTTTTGGTAGGTATTTGTTATTTCTTTTATTTTTTTATGCTTATTAAAGCTGTCGTATTTTCTGCCATAGTCGTCTATTTCTATGCATTGATCTTTTAACCACTTTGCCTTGGCCTTTTTTATCTCTACTTTAATTTTACTTTATAGTTCTTGATATTTTGGCTCATTTCTCCCTTTGGATTTTCTCCTCTCTTCCAGTCATTCACTTATGTTTTTTGTTTGTCTTTTCAGGCTTTAAATTTTCTTCTGCAGCCTTTAGTAATGCCTTCTAAATATGGCTCCACTTTTCATTGACTTGGATCATTTTTTGATGCATTTCTCTTTTTCTAATTCTGTATAATCAAACTTTGATTTATTTTTTTGGTATTACAATTTTTTTGAGTTTCACATACATTCTAGTCATCAGCGGGTTATGGTCTGAGTTGACATCTTCTCCGGGGTATACTTTGACTGCTTTAATTGAGTTTTTGTATCTATTTTTGACTAATATATATATATATATATATATATATATATATATATATATATATATATATCTATGTCTATTTGATTTTTGACTATGCTGTCTTTGTTGTCTGCAAGAGATCTCCAAGTGTATAATCTTCAGTCGGATAGTTGGAACATTGTGTTCATTATTGTAAAATGTTCATTTTGACAAAAATCCAACGAGTCTATCCCCTCTTTCGTTTCTGTCACCTAGTCCAAATTCCCCAACATATGCGTCAACTTTTTTGGAAACGGGCAGGGCTCCTCTGACACCGTCCAAGTGTAGCCGAATAAATATATCGGCCGGGTACAAGTAATTAGGTTAAATTACTTCGGATTATCCTATGACTTCGGTATATTTCCATTAGCGGTGGTTCTTTTTGTTGTGTGTATTTAAATAAAGTACTTCTTACTCAGTAGAAATGTATTTTCAATTGTAACCAGTATACTTTTAAATTATTCAATAGATAATACAGTTGCCATTTATTTGCTCGCTGCTTTATATAAGAAATATTATCACTTACATTGTTAACACGTGATCTGATGATTCACCAAATGCGGTAGTTGAAAATTAAGAGCAGTGTGTCTTCTCAGGCAGTTGAACGTTAAAGAGAAAGAAGTCGGTACAATCTTTCGTAGATTCAAATTTTGGTTCGTGTCAAAGGGCGGACAGAGGGGTAGGACGTGGGAGCGTTGTTGCCAGTTTAGATCAAATCTGAACATTTTCCTCTCCCGACTTTAGCATTACAGTCACCTATTACTATTGTAATATCTTCTTTTTTAATAGATCTTAAAATTGTGTCTAACTCCATGTAAAAATGTTCTATCTCCTCTTCATCCTTATCCGCTGTTGATGCGTATAGGTGAATTAAGTTAACTTGTATGTTTGACCTATTTTGGCCAAATTCTTCGTACCAGTGAAACGATCGGAAGATCCATTCATTCAATAGCGTATCTGCGAGATCTTACTTAATATTATGTGCTATACGTTATTCAAACCAATTTGCACTCCTCCGATGTTACATTGCTGTAAATTTACTTAAATAACTATACAATATGAGCCTTTTTAAACCTGCACAACGAATTATCGTCTTAATTAGCCTTTTTCCATGCATATTTTATTTGCAGTTAACCAAATATTATAAACAATTGCATGTACTTGAATTATTTGTTATTTTAGTATTTAAAAATGTTGCTTTAAATGCCAAAAGTTAAAGTTTTATTCTTTAAATAGAGCCAAAGAAGCTTTTCGAGTATACGTAATAATGCCGTTGTTGCCAGGATTTGAAGGAGAAGTTGGTGCTCCATCCGGAACGTCGCTGCACGCTATTACCCACTGGAATTATGCGTCGATATCTCAGTAAGTACAAAATATTTTATCAAAAATTTAACAACTGTACAGAGATATTTGAAACACATCATATTTTGGATGTTAGTTACGTCAAATCAACCCAAAATGTGTTCCTAGATTTGCAGTTTTATTTTGTAGAAATCGTTTATTAGCACGTTTCGTGGTATGGACTAGATATTATCAGTACTTGTCTAAATCTTGCTACGGCGTCTCTGTTTTTCGGGGCCGAAGATGTCTATTTTTCATGTTAAATCTACTGTTGAAGACCGTATAGCTTCACGGAGAGTGTAGATAGTTATCAGGTTACCGAGCTTTTCTAAAATATGAGTTTTTGATAGTCTAATAACGAATTTTCCTTGAATTATTACCCTCCGCTTATCTCTTTGTCAAAAGATAGTCTACTCAGTCTACCTCATCGACTTATTTTTTTACACTCGACTATATATGATCAGAACTTCTTTAAAGCTGTCAATGTGATTCAAAGCTGTTCTGGACTTGTTCTTGTCAGCGACGCATCTCTATTGTTCGGGTACTTTTTCAAACATCGCTTTCTGAAAGTCTGATATGCAATCTAGGCTAAGTTTTCACTGTACGTCCATGATATTGCTTCTCCATGCAGAAACTTTGCCACAAGATCTTCGTCGACTTTGTTTTTATTCATTGGGTTAGATATGATCTTGATTAATGTTGGACAAATCGGTTAAAATCTGGTTTTGAATTTGGTCTTGTCGCAGAGTCATTCATATTCTTCAGATGCTTCAGGATGAAGTCTCCTGAAGACAACTAATTGGTGCCGCAAGGGTTTGTATCAGTGCTTCCATCATTATACTTGGATCTGGTTATTAAGTATGGTCTTTTTTGGACTTGGTTTCTTCAGCTGGATGTTGGGTCGTGGGTGCTATGTTGCTGGGTGAAATTGATCGTGGATTGTAGATCGCGTTCCGAATATCCTTAACGTTCGTCAGTCAATAGGTGCCCAGACCATTTTAAACCTCTTCTTTCTATTCTGTCAATGATCGTTTCTGTAGCATTCATATTATTTCTTATAGATTCGTTGGTCTTCCTTTCCGGCCTTGATGTTCTAACACGTCTTCTCAAATAATCCATTTCAACTGCTAACAGTCTTCTCTCCAGGCCTGCATTAATTGTCTACACTTCAGAGCCCCAACAAAGAACTGATTCAACCATGGTTTTGAACTATTCTTTTATTTGTTCTTTTTGGAAATATTGCGTAAATAAAGTATTAATTTCAATAGATAAACATTTTTTCACAAAAATGGAGTGAATGAGGCAATACAAGTCATGAATGTCAGGAAAATCCGCTTAAGTGCTTTTCTAATGATGTGCCATATATAGTGTGAGTTTGACAGAAGACAGATGAGCTGATCCTTGAAATGTATCCGCTTTTGAATAAAAATCGAGCTGTTTCGATACTAAATCCCTAAAATTGAGCAGATTGTTTCTATACAATAAAATATACTAAGCAAAGTCAACAATGTGACGAAGTAAAGCTTAAGCTAAGTAATTAACTCTTTAAACATCTCGTTTTTTTTCGTTTTTTTTTTAATTTGCCCATTTTCATATTTTCTATTTATGATTTTTCTCAAAAAAGATTTTCCAATTACGAACTGTTACCTTATTGGTCAATTTCTTGTGGAATATTTAAGAAATTAAGGAAATTAATAAAATTAGTCTGAAAAATCTGTTAAAGGGTTATTAAAGAAGTCTTGAAGACTGAAGATTCGGTGCAACATTTAGCACATTTCTACGTGTTTATAAGTTCAGTTTATTACATAAAAAATGTATATTTTTAGGGGAGACGACGCCATTCTAAAAAGACTAGAAAAAGCTGGTATCAAAGATCCTTCGCAATACATCTCTTTCTATGGTTTAAGAACGCATTCCACATTAAATTCAGAACCAATCACTGAATTAATATACGTCCACTCGAAATTGATGATAGTTGATGATAAAAAGGTCATCTGTGGCTCAGCTAATATCAACGATAGGTCACTTATTGGTAAAAGAGATTCAGAAGTGGCTGTCCTAATAGAGGTAAGTAAGTTAGGTACGCTAAACTCAAAACAATTATGGTTTTACGTCACATTCCACCGTTTCCGATATTTCGAATTTTTCCGGGATTAGACTTCTATCTTCAAAAGTGTCACCTGTCGTTTGTCATTATTACTGTTGCGACATAAAGAAATTAAAAAATTGAAAATTAAATGGAAATGCTATTTAAAATCAGCCTTAAACCACCCTCTTTCGACAGATGTTGAAACCGTAAATAATGCAATCACAGAAGCGTTAATGACTGCACAAAAACAGTACTGTGCTAGACCAGCCGGAAAAGAAGAGAAACTGAGCGAAAACACCAGAAAGCTCATTAAAGAAAGAAAAATCAAGAGATCGGAGCAGAAAGGCGACTCAGCTGAACTCAGAAATCTGAACAGAGATATCTCAAAAGCAATTCGTAAAGATCAGAGGAAGTATAATACTGAGAAAATACAAAATGTGATTGAGCAAAATGGAAATATGAAAATACTCAGAAGAAAGCTTTGTGATGATAAAAAGGAAATTGTTAAACTAAAAGACAAGGAAGGTAATATAACAACAAATAGAGAGAGAGAGTAGTAGAGATAGCAAAAAGCTTCTATGAAGAATTATACAAAAGCCAGTTAACAGAAGAAGACAAAACACAAATTAGAGAACGCAGAGTAATGAACCAAGGATCCGAACTTCTGCCTACCATAACGATAGAAGAAGTGAAACGAACTCTAAAGGAAATGAAAAACAACAAGGCTCCGGGAGATGACCAAATAGTAATAGAAGCTGTTAAAGTAGGAGGCAAGAAACTGCTGGAAGTAGTAACTGAACTATTCAACCTATGTCTAAACCAAGGTATTGTCCCTACAAAATGGAACAATGCAATTACTATCCTTATACACAAAAAAGGAGATATATCAGACCTAGAGAATTATAGACCGATAAGTCTGTTGTCACATCTCTACAAATGGTTTACCAAGATCATCACAAAACGTTTAGAACGAAAATTAGATTTCTATCAGTCTAAGGAGCAAGCTGGGTTTAGGAAAGGTTATGGAACAAATGACCACCTACAAGCACTTAAAATACTAATTGAAAAATGTGTTGAATATAATAAACCACTCACGTTGATTTTCATAGACTTCTCAGAAAGCTTTTGATACCGTGGAATTACCGGCAGTATTAGGAGCATTAGAACAAAGCCGAGTAGACTATAGATATACAAATTTGATAAAACATATATACAACAACGCAACAGCATCTGTTAAACTCCATGACTTTACCGATAAATATAGAATTGAGCGAGGAATTAGACAGGGCGACACCATCTCCCCCAACTATTCACTGCAGCTCTGGAATATGCCTTTAAAAAACTAGATTGGGCTAAAAGGGGAATAAATATTGATGGTGATACTTAAGCCACTTGCGCTTTGCAGATGATATTGTCATTATAGCCGAGAGTTTAAATGAAGCTCACAAAATTATGGAAGAACTAAAACAGGCAATAGAACAAATAGGCCTGAACATAAACTTTGAAAAAACAAAATACATGACCAATTTAGTTCCAAGTGATGTTATGAGGGTAGATGGGAACGAAGTACATCAGGTCTTTAGCTATATCTATTTAGGGCATGAAATTAGAATAGGAAAATACAATCAAACTTGTGAGAACCAGCGTCGCATAGGCTTGGGATGGGCAGCATTTGGCAAGATGCGAGATATTCTAAAAGGAACGCTACCGATTTGCTTGAAGAAAAAGGTTTACAACCAATGCATACTGCCAGTAATAACATATGGTTCCGAAACAATAACTTTAACCAAACATTCTGCAAATAAATTGAGAGTAACCCAAAGAAAAATGGAAAGAGCAATGTTGGGAATAACTAGAAGAGATATGGTACCAAATAGGATAGTGAGAGAGAGGACTAAAGTGACAGATGTCATAGAAAAAATTGCACAAGCCAAATGGAGATGGGCTGGACATATAGCACATTTAAATGATAATAGGTGGACCAAAAGACTCATAGAATGGAGACCTAGAGAAGACAAAAGACACCGAGGCAGACCACCAAAAAGATGGATGGACGACTTGAGAAAAACAGTCGGAAATTGGATACAGAAGGCGCAAGATAGAGAACCGTGGAAGAACATGGAGGAGACCTACATCCAACAGTGGATGCAAGAGGTTGAGGAATGATGCTATTTAAAAGATTTTAAAACAAGGTACATGACAAATCTTAACATATTAAAAACTCTGTCTATACAAAAAGGGGTACATTTGTGAAATTATGAGTATAATTTTAGTGTAACAGGACTGTATTACATAGGGCTGGTTCAAATAAAAATTAGGATATGTAGTAAAGGTTGATACAGACAATAGCAAATTAAGTTTATACAAGATCTTGTCAATATTGCTGCTCCACACACTCGCGGTTTGACCGGCTTTCGCTCGCGGTTATTCTTCATACGCTGAATCTGTCCGGGAACCGTTTTAACACGTGTTTCGCGGTACTAACACTGAGATCACGAGATAGAGCACATTTTCGTCTGTACGCGATTTAAAATAGTATTTGCGCTATTTTTCGCGTAACTAAACGCGGGAGAGATAATTAGTTAGCGGCAGTCAACAGTAGAGAGTGTCTTTTCAGCGATAGATAACAGCCAAGAGAGCAACTGTTCTTCTCGATAAGCAAAAGAGTAAGAGAGAGAGAGAGAGAGAGAGAGTACGTCTGCCTAGTAAGACTCAGCAGACAGAAGAGAGCGACTGTCCTCAACGACAGTCAACAGACAATAGAGAGTTTTTCTTCTTTGCTTTAAAACTGTCTGTTTTTCTAAAGAAGGGGAGGTTGAACTGGAATAGGAAGGGTTATCAAGGGTTGGACTAAGGTAATGATTGTAAAATTGTGATAGAAGGATAGTTAATAATACAGCGAAAAAAATGACATGATTTTTCATTGGGGTGCAGACGAAGACTCTTTGCTTCAGTTTTATAGATGTCTTATTCGTTCTAAAATAGACTACTGCAGTTTCATTTATATGTCTGCTAGCCCATCAGATTTAAAACTTCTTAATTCTGTACACAACACTGCACTTCGAATGTGCCTTGGAGTCTTCAAGTCGAGCCCCGCAGAGTTTATACAGAGGAGATAATGAACTTCTCTTCAGGCTACGTCGCCAGCAACTCCTTTTGAAATATTCGTCTCGAATGTCAGCTAATACCGAAAATTCAGCCTATACATTACTATGACCTTTCCAAAACTTCATATGTGAAAACCTCCTTCTCCTATAAACTTCAATATATGCCACAGTATCTCTCACCACATCTGAATGCTATCGATCTTTCAGCCACAACTCCATTATTAGTTTCACCTAAACGTCCCTGGAATAAATTGATAGCAGATTTTAATCTCTTGTTAACTAATTATGATGAGCATCAGGCAAACTCACAATTTCTAAGGCAAACCTTTAAAGAATTAAGTGCTATCAACAGATTTGATTAAAAATCAAAAACGGTCATCATACGGGAGTCATCTGCCACCACGATCATATGAAATTTTTATTTTGCCTAAAAGAAAGTTTTAAAATCAATTTGAAATTTCATAGTAATGCTCACTACTCTGTGGTAGTGCTGCTTTTGAGGAAATGGAAGAAGTGATATGTACTCCAACTGAAACAAGTAAGAAGTCATCAGAGACACCACAACTTCTTCCAGCATCATCTGTTGAAAAATACAATTATCAATAAGAGATATTTATAAAATGCTGCAAAAAAAATAACTATTATAGTTGGTGATTAAAATTTGTATGCACCATGTCAGTACAGTCTTTATCGAACGAGTCTGATATTACAAACAGAGGAAGCGAAGCGAGTTACTTTACCGACTTGATACATAAATACTCTTTGTACAGGGATAATTGTTTTGATGCTGTTGTATATTTCAATTTTAAATTGGACGATTTTGTACATTTTATAGGATGAAACCTTCGAAGATGGTATGATGAACGGAAAATCTTTCCCTAGCGGAAAATTCGCCGGTAGTCTTAGAAAATACCTTTTTAGAGAACACCTTGGTCTACTTGATAAATCAACTAGCGAGCTTTTAAATATAGATGTCACCGATCCAGTTATAGATTCTTTTTATAGAGAGGTTTGGTATAAAACCGCCGAATTGAACACCGAATTCTACGAAAAAGTCTTCCATTGTTTACCTAGCGATAGTGTCGAGACGTTTGCTGATTTAAGGAAGAATCACGAGGAAAAACCGTTGTGGGTTGATGAGTTTTCCAGATCTGATAAAATGTTGGAAAGTATACAGGTAAGTGTATTCGATTCACTTCACAAATTTTTTCCAGAGTATTATAAATGTTCAATTAATGCATTATCATAAAATGCGAGCAATAAAATTGTTATAAATCTGTAATATGCACTGGTTTTGAGGAGGTACCAAAGCTGTCTATCTTAAGTATCTCCGAATGCTGCTGAGAAGTCCTTGATGGATAAAGCTACTTAAAAATGTGTCCTGTGGCACGTTCTGTAGCAATGATCTTAGAAACTTATTTATAGTTTTAATAGCGGTGGTCAGAGTAATTATTGTATGAGACTATTTGGCAAATCCATAAAAGAATATAACATAAGGTCCCATACTAACGTTGATACGTCACTACCCAGAACCTTCTCTATTACTTCACTAGTACATCACCATCATCCAGCCCCATTTTCACATCCATTGTTGGATATAGGCCTCCTCCAAACGTCTCCAGTTCTCTCTATCTTTAGCTGCTGCAATCCAGTTTGTTTCTATTCTCCTTATGTCGTCGGTCCATCGGGTGGGTGGTCTGCCTCGTCTTCGCTTGTCGGCTCTTGGTCTCCACTCCAATAATCTCTTCGTCCATCTTCCGTCTTCCATTCTAGCAACATGCCCAGCCCACTTCCACTTTTGTTTATTGATTCGCAGTATAATATCGTCTACGCCAGTTCGCCGGCGTATCTCCTTATTTCCCACGCGATCTTTCAAGGTCAGGCCCAGCATTGATCTCTCCATTCGCCTTTGTGTTACCTCAGTTTTTCGGCAGTAGCTTTCGTTAAAGTTGGGGTGTCTGCTCCGTAGGTCAAGACTTGTAACATGCATTGGTTAAATGCCTTCCTTTTCAGGTGAATTGGGATATTTGTTTTAAAAATGTCTCTCATCCTTCCATATGCCGCCCATCCCAACGTGATTCGTCTATTTAGCTCGCAGGTTTGGTTGTCTCTGGTTATTCTAATGTATGTGTATTTATCGATTAATTCTACCTTGTTGTTATTGATCTGTATCTCTTCGCTGGGAAACCATATTGGTTATCATTTTGGTTTTCTCGAAATTTATCTCCAGCCCAGTTTCTTGTAGTAAGTCATTCAGTTCTTGGAGCATGTCTTTGATCTCTCCCAGATTATCAAACAGAAGCACGATATCGTCCGCCATGTTAGTCTTTTAAATGCATCCTCAAGAACGGTAATGAACAGCTTTGGTGACATGGTATCACCTTGCCTGACTCCCCTTTTTATCTTTATTTTATTAGTTGGAGAATGTAGACTTATGGTTGTTGTGGCATTTTCATATAAGTATATTTTTAACTATATTACAATATCTGTGGTCGACCCTGCAATCTTGTAGTGCTCTTAAGATGGACGGTAGTTCCACTGTATCAAACGCCTTTTTAAAGTCTACAAATATCAATGCCAAGGGACGGTTATATTCGTTAGTTTTTTCTATCAGGGTTTTTAGGCACTGCAGATGATCGTTTCTGCCGTAATTAGGGCGAAAACCAGCTTGTTCCCGAGGTTGGTAAAAATCCAGCTTTGTCTCTAATCTGTTCGTTATTATTCGGGTGTATAATTTATAAAGATGGTTAAGGAGACTGATTGGTCTGCTATATCTCCCTTCTTGTGTAAGAGTACAGTTATTGAATTATTCCACTTTGTTGGGATATTTTGATTCCATAGGCATAGACTAAAGAGCTTTTGAATTTTGGCTATCAGTACTAAGCCTCCTATCTTTATCGTTTCCGTAACGACACCGTCCTCCCCCGGAGCTTTGTTATTTTTCTTCACTAGTACATACTTCAATATTCATGGCGATACTACGGCCACTATTCGGAGATTATGTCATCGATAGTGACGTAGTTTTTTAACGTGATATTAACAGATTTGATGGAAGAATCAGGCGGTATTTGTTAGTGTCATCAATCATCTTTTTTATTGAAACAGTTAGGGCTCTTTTCGTTCTGAATGGCTTCTCAGAAAATCTGTTATTTATAGAAACGGATTAAGACTATAGTTTTGAAATTTTCAACATCGAATTTTGGCCTTGTATGAAAATATGCTAGAGCTGATAAGGATTTCGGATATTGTGGGTTTGCGATCACTTTGACAAAGTTTCTCTGTTTTTATACTGTTGTTAATAATAAATGAGTGTGCAGCGTCTCCAGTCTCTTAAACCACAAGCAGTCTCTTGTCTCTGAGTTACTTTTTCTTTTAACATTCACTTTTATTATGAGTCGTAAGATTTTGTTTTTTTCTCTTCTATAAATATGTCCTAAAAGATTTTTTTTTATTTACAAACATGGTCGCATCAACCTCTGAGGTTATTAGCGACATATAAACATAAACATGAGATAAGTATCTTATAAATAAATATTATATTTTGTTAAAAATATTAATGTCTTTAAGAAATTTCATAATATTTTCACTGGTACACTCACTAAAGATGTCCCTTATAACTGATGGAATTTTATTAGTTAGTCTTTCCGCACTATATTTGGGACACTCCGTTAATACGTATTTCACTGTTAACGGTACGTCAAAACCCGTACATTTTGGTTGAGGTTCCTTCTTCATGAGATATTCATGTGTGAGTTTGCTGTGTTCTAGAAGATTTGATTTTCGGTATTTTACAATCTTGAAAAGTGCTCTGTTAGTTCCTGACTTTGTTTAATCATTTACGTCATGTTTTTTTGGTGTTTCAACTAGATATGTATCGAAGGCTTTTTCGTAGTCAATAAAGCAGAATATTTCGGAACTTTAGTAGCAATAATTTTGGCTGTACACTATGGACAGCTAAAATTATCCGAATGAAGGCCCCTTAAAGTGATTAGAGACCTTTATGAACCTTGTGGTACTCCACATACAATGCTTTTGTGACTAGAGTCAGTATCTTTTGCTATAACTACTTGTTTCCTATTTGCCAAGTAAGATTTTACCCAATTCAAGGAAATACCTCGAATTCCGTAGAGATTTAGTTTTTTTATCAAAATGTCGTGATTTACACAACTAATAGCTTTGGCAGTAACAAAACACAGGGGCAGTATAAAGATTATTGTTTAGTGCTTGATAGACCTCATGTAGTACATAACACATAGCATAACTGGTACATTTATTAGGTAAAAAGCCGAACTGACTGTAATAAAATGTTGTTTTCAACGAGAAAGGACATAAGTCGGGCTTTTATAAGTCTCTCAATAATAGGGCTGGTAATAAGGCAATAAGTCTATAGTTGCATACATTAGATTTTTCACCACCCTTATGAACCTTATGAAGAGGCTGTCTTTAGGCACTCTGGAAATATACCTTTTTCAAAGGAATCGTTAATCAGTGAGACCAGGACTTACATAATATACTTACATGATTTACTTACATAATATGGAACTACAAAATGAATAATCCTGCTTCTGTTGACCTATTCATTTATATCATCATTTGATGTTGATCCAATGTATGTTTAGATTCACTAAAGCACATAGATAAATATAAACAATTACTAGCAACAATTTGATATTGAAATACTTCAATTATTATTTAATATTTGAACTGATCCAAATAGTTATTTCTACCTTATATTACACAAGATGTATTCGCAAAATCTTTTCAAACTGGAAAGAATTTAAGTTTTTCGAAGTAAATCTACGTAAATCGTAAAATAGTTTCGAAACACAATGTTTTCGAAACACAGGCTCAGATTATAAAGCAGAAATCTGAATTGTGGTTCGAAACTATTTTACGATTTTTGTAATTAGATGTCGCTAGCGCGTCCGTATTGAAGCCATGTTATTGTTGCTTCTTAAAAGGCAGAAAATATTGATTTTTCACGTTGAGAACTTCTATGAATAGCTGTTCTGATGAGACCTATTAGGTCGAAATACGTATCAACAGATACATAGGATTTGTTTGCGTGAAATCAAATATTTGCTGCCTTTTTTCATTTTAAATCTACGTAATTTGCAAGTATTGTTCAGGCCTCATTGTATGCATGTTGAAGTGGTCAAAAATTAGCTGTGACTGGTAAAAATGTCAATCATTAAAAACTGCAATGGTATACCTTTAAAAACACGTACAATCATCATTCATGATCATTACACTCATCTGCATAAAAATAGATAATTTATTTTGTTTTTTTTTGTTGGATTTTAGGGCCACATTGTATTATTGCCTTTAAATTTCCTCAAAAACGAGTACCTCCAACCAGCCGTTAGCTCTGCGGAGGGATGGATGCCCACGTCGCTGTGGACTTGACGAATACCGAAATTATTACAAGTTTGTTTGAAGATTATGCGTCTGTGTTAAAGTCTAAAGTGCCTAAAAACACTTGCCTGATATTTATATCAATTTTAATATTATTATTGTGATTTTAAAAGTCAGAAGCATTTGCTTAGGAATATTTGCGTTAAAGCGTACTAGAATTAGTTAAATGTTCGCATACAGAGTTTAATTTTTTTAACATTTTATAAAAGAATTACGTCAATCAACTGCATTCCAGGCGAATTGATAGGCGCCTGATGTAGTGCAGTTGTATGTAATCAGCGACTCTGTCATCACACTACAAACAGCACCAAAGGGTTCAGCACAAAAGATCCAGATAGGTCGTAGTGCAATTATTATATGATATATGACTCAACCAATACTCAAGCTCTGTTTTATGGACAATAATTGTACAGTAATTACATTTTATAAACGTAGACCAAGAATTGAGAAGAGTATACTCAATTTGTCTGTTATTGTAGTATATAACTGGAATAGCTTTAGCCTTCTTTTAATTTATGTTTTTCTGCGGAAACGTACGATATTAGCTCGAGGATTTTTTTATGTATAGAGTTGTGTCAAAGTAACATGTACTTATAATTTTGTTTTTCACTTGCCATATAGTCAATCTATTGTTTCGAGGCATTTTTAAGTCATTGGGAATGTTATTAGCCCCACGCTGCACTCCCAAATTGAGGACCGCTGGGTTTTTGTTAGATTTACCTTCTTGTCATTAGAAATACATTTGATCGATTTTAATTCTTGTACTAATTACTCGCTTAATGACCGACGATACTCGGGCATTAATGTCTCGTTTATTATCTAACGATTAAAACACTACGTAACAGAGATTTTAATATTCGTCACATAGTAAGAACTCCATAAGAACATCGTCAAACCCGTAAGTAGGTCTTTTCTATTTGTCTACATTGATGCGTAACATTTTAGTTCATAATGATTTTAAGTCATCTTTATTAATTAACAATGTTAGAGTTTTTTAAGTTTACACTATAAAGTGACAGATAAAACTTTGAAGAGCAATTAAAAGATGAAATTTGGTTGTACTTTGAACGTAATTCTGATGTTCAAATTATTCTAAATAGTTCCTTTTAGTGTGTCCACGTGTTTTATTTTGACATGACATTTGACATGACGTTTGACATGTTCAAAATATGTGGAGACACAAAATTATCAGTTATCATGGCTGTGATATCATTGTTCCTGTTTGGTGATTAGATGGACGTTGGTTTAAATCCCTCGTCAGGCACATTTTTTGTTTTTTTTTTTATTTATTCTTTGTTTATACTTTTCTCGCTCGTACCCAAATGAATTATGAACTGAAATCTCTCGTTAAATATTTCATATTTAAACATTGTTAGTTAACTAACTGCTATACACATAAATTGTAGCGGTTATATTTTTGCCTACCACATTGGGTTTCACTTATAGGGGATTGAAAATGAGAACTGAACAATTACGGGGCTGGAGATAGGATAAGCAAACGAACCGGAACCTTTGCGAACTTCTAGTTGTTTGGCCTTCTTCGCCAATAATGTTTCTTGTACGCTTCATCATAAAATATCGTCCACACACACACGCCACCTTCTTAACCCCAGCTTTTAAGCAATCCACTACTTCTGCACAAGCATTCATCAATACGTTTACACACCCCCTTACTCTGCAAAAAAGAACCCCTTTCCTTGAAGGGGCTACAGCGTAAACAAGGTAAAATGCTGGATCGAATCACTCAACCTGCAAATTGGTCTGAAGTGACCAGGGAACACAAATGGACAATTCTTTGGAAATTCGACACTGGATTCGAGCTTTGCATCATCCTGGATGACAAAAAAAACTGCAGTCTTCAAAACTCGGCCTCTCAAACGCTACTGCTTAAAACCATGTGAACCTCCCAAATTATTGTAACGCTGCTTTACAAATCTGGATGACAAAAAAAACTGCAGTCTTCAAAACTCGGCCTCTCAAACGCTACTGCTTAAAACCATGTGAACCTCCCAAATTATTGTAACGCTGCTTTACAAATCTCCCACATATGACACAATACAACAAATCGGTGATAAACTCACTTGAGTTTAATTCACCTTATCCCAAAGAAATTGGCCGGCTTTTGAAGACTACACACCCGAAATATTTCTCTTCCAAAATCTCAATCCAAACTTACTCGGTTTTTTGTTTGTGTCGGTTTATTTGACCTTAAGACTACTAGGCTTTCAGACTTAGGTTAAACTTTCTCTCAGATGTCGCAGAAACACTTGTATAAACAAGAACTTCAAGAAATTTTAATACATAGCCAGTAGCGTATCAAATAAATCTTATACATTAAATATTCGATAGTTATAAGGAAATTATACATGCTACAAAATATTAATGGCGCAACGCTAACAAATGTGAGATTTGTCGATGGCGTAATCCTAATCGTGGTCAAAGTATTGAAAATGTCAAACAAAATAGTGGAACAATTTGCCTGAAGATCAATTTCTCGAACAGAGTTTGTCTAAAGACAAACTCAGTTCTCTATGGAATTGAAATAGGGGAGACTGTTTTACAAAATCTGTACTAGTTCAAACAATCGAACATTATCATATTAAAAATACAAAAATCCGAAGCAGAACCGGAATCCAAGCTGCTGAGGAAGTAATAGAGGGGAATTTAGAAGGATACATCGCAAGAATTGACGCCTTTACGGTATAGGTGGCGATTTGTGACGCATAAATACAAGCTGGATACAATGATCGTGTAAGATATAGAGTTATAACAGCATTCAACGGATGCTCCAACCACAAATTTTTCAAACGCAGCAGTACCAATTGTAAAAATCCGATCTTTAAATATATATCTCATTTCCCTAGTTCACGAATTTTTAATTTTTTAATTTATATTTTTGATCTTCCACTTGGAATTTTTAAATGTTTTGGAACAGTTAAATGTTTGATCCCGAGGCTGTTTCTAGTCTCCCCAATTCAGATTACCAGCAACTTATTAATATCGATAGCGGTCCTAATTTGTTGATCTTAAAGTTGTTTCATTGTCGATCTTCGACAAACTTGGAACTTAAGTTTCGCTCGTTCTTCTTCTTCTAGTGTCGTCTCCACTAATGAAGATTGGCTATAACCATTGCAAATTAGTCACTATCTTCTGCTTTTCTTAAGATCAGTATTCTTAAATTGCTATGCTTTTGATCTGTATACTTTTTCGTAGCCTCCTCAATTTAAAACTTAGCCACGTTTCGATATTTGTAACGAAATTCCTTGATACTGTCTTTTTCTGGCTGACGTAAACCTTCTTTCTTTGTGGTATGCATTTTTCCTGGCTCTATCTATTTCTTCGATCCATCAATATGGAATCTTCGTCTTCCTATGCCATTCCCATTAACGGAGGTTGGCGACCACATTTCTAAAAGTTTCTCTGTCTTTTGCAACATGGAATAGTTCGTCTACAGCCATGTTTGTCCAGTCTCGAATATTTCGCAGCCATGACTTCCTCTTTCTACCTATTCCCTTTTTGCCATCGACGCTACCCTGCATGATGACCTACAGAAGACTATATTTATCATTCTTCAGTATGTGTCCAAGGTATGCAGTCTTTCGTACTTTTATTGTTCTCAACAATTTTTTGTCTCGACCCATCCTTCTCAGCACTTCCCCATTGCTGACCCTGGCAGTCCATGGAATTCTCAACATTCTCCGGTATATCCAAAGTTCAAAGGCGTCAAGCTTCTTAACTATTTGCGCTTCTAACGTCCATGTTTCAACCCCGTACAATAGTTGAGACCAGACGTAACATTCGTATCAATATGGATAAAAGCTCCATAAAAATAATCGCTTCATAAAGGTGAAAGTGGTCGAAATACTTAACAGGATTATCTTCTATAGGGTCAGCTATATACACTTATTATTTATTCAGATTAATTTTTTAAAGTACTGATAAACGTAACATAATTTATAGAACTCAGTTGTTGGTCTACCTTAAATTTTATAGCTACATTCTGAAATTTTTTATATACATATATACATATTTTTATACAAATCTATTTTTAAATACGATCGTGTCAATTTTGGTACCATTCACTCTTTTTTGTGTCGTGGTACTCCGTTATACATGGTATTAGTTGTTGTGTAATTTAATATTGAATGTAAACTATACTGCTACAAAAATTGTAGGAGAATCGACGTTCTCTAAACACTGCCAAACGATTAGATATATTCACGTCCCCAAAGTTATTTTAAATAGAATTGTTTGACTGAATGGATTTAGTAGGTCATATAAAACGAATCGTGGGGATAGTAGCTACAGTATTGTGCGAATTAATGTGAACAAACAGATGATTTATTTAGGCCAAAGGTAAATTTAGGTACACTTACATGAGATTTTTTCATTAATTAGTATTTATATGTCCCCCTTTTAATTTTATGACTTTCTGGAGTCTCCCAGGCATGGAATCCACAAGTTTTTTGCAATTGTTTGTGATTGCTTCATTTCTAAACCACACCTTAATCATTGCTTCCACAATTTTTGTTTTTGTCGTACAGTCAAATTTTTGCAGTTTAGCTTTACATATTGCCCATAAATTTTCAATAGGATTAAGGTCAGGTGAACTCCCAGGCCAATTAAGAATGCTAATATTATTATCCTTGAAGTATTTCATCATAACCTTCGATACATGACACGAAGCTGAATCTTGTTGAAAAATTGCAGTCCCTTCGGCCTGTACTTTGTCAAGCTCTATAGCTAAGCGTTGTCCTAGCATGGTTTTGTACTTTTCACTGTTTATCATACCTTCAATAGGAATAAGAGTGCCAGTTCCTGAGTACGAACAACAGCCCCAGAACATTTTTTTTTGGTGTGATGTTTAACTGTTTGGTTAATATGGCTAGCTGAAAGTGACTCATCGTGAATTTTTATTCCAGCCTTTTCTAAAACTTGCTGGAGGTCATAACTTGTTTTTCTGAGATGAAGTTTGCTATTGCACAAAATAA